GTAGTAGTAGTAGTAGTAGTAGTAGTAGTAGTAGTAGTAGTAGTAGTAGTAATAGTAGAGTAGTAGTAGTAGTAGTAGTAGTAGTAGTAGTAGTAGTAGTAGTAGTAGTAGTAGTAGTAGTAGTAGAAGTAGTTGTAGTAGTTGTAGTTAGTAGTCGTAGTAGTAGTAGTAGTAGTAGTAGTAGTAGTCGTAGTAATAGTAGTAGTAGTAGTAGTAGTAGTAGTAGTAGTAGTAGTAGTAGTAGTTTTTAGTAGTCCTTAGTAGTTAGTAGTAGTAGTAGTCGTCGTCGGTAGTCGTAGGTCGTAGTAGAAGTAGTAGTCGTAGTAGTCGTGGAAGTCGTAGCAGTAGTAATTGTAGTAGTAGTAGTAGTGTATTAGTAGTTATAGTAGTTATATCAGTAGCAGCAGCCGTAGGTAGTATCAGTAGGTAGTAGTAGTGTTGTAGTTAGTAGTAGCAGTAGTATAGTGGTGGTGGTGTGGTGTTGGTGGAGGTGGTAGCATTAGTAGTAGTAGTAGTAGTAGTAGTAGTAGCGTAGTAGTAGTAGTAGTAGTAGTAGTAGTAGTAGTAGTAGTCGTAGTAGTAGTAGTAGTAGTAGTAGTAGTAGTAGTAGTAGTAGTAGTAGTAGTAGTAGTAGTATTAGTAGTAGTAGTTAGTAGTAGTAGTAGTAGTAGTAGTAGTAGTAGTAGTAGTAGTAGTAGTAGTAGTAGTAGTAGTAGTAGTCGTAGTAGTCGTAGTAGTCGTAGTAGTAGTAGTAGTCGTCGTAGTAGCAGTAGTAGCAGTAGTAGCAGTAGTAGCAGTAGTAGTAGTAGTAGTAGTAGTAGTAGTAGAGGACGAGGAGGATTTATCCCTTCGCTCTGGAGGAGATCTCCTTCTCCTCCTCTTCCTCACTGGCATCGGTTCGCCCCCTGGTGCAGTGATGCTCTTTTGCCAGGAGTTCGAACAGTACGTTATTGCTGGATCTTTCCTGACAGAACATGCCATGCCGCCCAAATCCTTGACACATCTACCCTGGAGGGCTTGCAGGAGGCGGTCTCCAACATCTCTTCCTCCGTCTCTTCCTCGAGATCCGAGGGAGCCTGGGTTTCCCCAGAGGCATTCATAGATCCCTGGAAGCCTCTAGAGGCGTCGAGAGGCCTTCCAAAAGCTTAGAGACGTCCAGAATAGTTGGGGTGTCGGCGACGACGACGGAGATCATTGGCGCTCCCTGATTGTCCCCTGGCGGTCTCCCGATGTCACCAGAGGTCTCCATGGCACGCCGAGGTCCAGAGACGCCCAAGAAACATACATCTTCGAACCCCGATCGGGAGATCCGGAGATCCTTCGAGGCTCCAGAGGTCCGCAAAGGTCGAGACACGCCCCCAACACCGAGCCTCGTCGTTGTCCTCCTCCTCCTCTTCCTCCTCGTCCTCGGGCCTCCTCCCTTATCCTCCTCCTCGAGCATTCTCCTCCCCGAGCCTCGTCGCCTCCTCCGCGTCCTCCTCCTCGAGCCTCCTCGCCCTTCCGCTCGCTCCCATCCTCCTCGGCCGACGACGGCGCGGGCGCCTCGGTCTCCAAGATCGCCGCGGCCCCGCCCTCCCCCGCCGAGGCTCGCTGCTGATCTACGACGGGCTGTCCGTGCACGCCACCGTGAGCGACGTGGCGGGCGTGAAGTTCGCGGACGCCCGCGTCGGCCCCCCGAAAGGTGGAGGGATGGGGAGAGGCAGGGGGAGGGCGAGGCGGGGGGAGGAGAAGGCGGAGGCCGAAGATGAGGATAATGAGGCTCAAGTGGCTCAACTTTGGCTCAAGTATCCATTGGCTTCCCCACCCCCCGTGTTCCACCCTGTTCGTCGCCTCGGCTTCCGATAGCACGACCCAGTGAGTGTGGGGTTGCCGGAAGTGATACCGATTGTACGCGTAAGTCGCTGGAGAGAGTTTCGAGACCACAGAAGCGCAGGCTACGGTTGCAGCGTCTGGCCTTTCACCGCGCCCGGGACCTCGAGTTGCAGAAGAATATGCAGGCTTCGGCAATGAATGTTGACGCACCCGCGTTTCATCCAGGCTTTTTCGCTGAGTCCAGGGTCATGAGGATAGAGTCTATGTGGTTGGGCCCTCAGTAGGTTTTCGTTGGCCAGTGGCATTGCGCCCCCGAGCAGATTCAGCAGCAGTTGGCCCCCACAGCAGGGATTATCATCAGTGTCGGGGGGGCACGATGTGTTGTAAGTTGTTCCTGCTGGGCGTCAGGCAATTCCTGCAAACTCAAAGCCAAATTTTCGACGGGTACTGGCCGCGGCTAGGGATGAAATCCATGATCGTTTTCGTCACTGTTTTCAAATGTCCGTTTGCTTGAATTCCGCGTTGGACAGCGCTGTGGACAGCATTGGCACGAGGGAAGACAGCGACATAGAGGAGGGCAGCGACGACAGTGGTATTGACGAGGACATCTGCGCCTTGTGCCACCAGCCGTTCGGAGACATTGCTGACGACGGGACGTGGGATGAAGATGCGTGTGACATGTGCTGCAAACCTCACCACGCTAATTGCATGACGAGCATTTTCGGCGTCAAGGGCGAATGGCAGGTGTTTCCGACCGCTCGCTGCCAGTATTTTGACTTTCAGACTCATGGAACCACATTCATGAACGGTCTCATCGTACGTGCAATGATACGTCTCTGGAAGATGCTGCCATGTCAGTGCCAAATGGTTGGCCACAACTCGATGAGGGGAAGCAGCATGCATTCCCAGTCTGGTATTGTGAGCGCCGAGCTCAGGAGCAAGATGTACTCATGATGCCCCTCCGCTATGAACCCCTTCCGGCCGAGCAGGCACAAAAATCCAGAGACATTTTTGTTGCCGCGCTGTCACGTGCACCGTGCCAAGCATCTACGAGATCAGCTGAGTACGTCGGTGGGCGCATCCCACGTGACGGAGCGTGCAGTCGGCCTTGCTTAGTAGGTCGACCCTGCTAAGTCAAGGGTAGCCTTATGTCCTGTCTTTCAAGAGGCGTGCCTTTTGCATTCCTACGGCAGTGTATCCCTCGGAAGGGTCTGGTGTCCTCTCGCGTGTCCTCTTCAATTAAGTCCGACTGTATGCGTAGGGCATCTTCGGGTTTTCTTGCGCAAGGGAGCCCTCCCGTCTGCCTCGGCGCCCTCCCTGGCCCCGCTTCCCCGCCCCCTCCCCAGCGCAAGAGCGAGCGCACGGGGCGAGCCACGGTTCGTGACCAGCTCGAGACAAAGAAAGAAGGGAGGAGGATGAGGAGGAGTAGGAGGAGGAGGTGGAGGAGGAGGAGGATGAGGAGGAGTAGGAGGAGGAGGAGGAGGACGAATGACTGATGATGAGGAGGAGGACCAAATAGGAGGTGGAGGAGGAGGAGGAGGAGACGCAGGAGGAGGAGGAGGAGAAGCAGGAGGACGAGGACGAATGACTGATGATGAGGAGGAGGAGCAAATAGGAGGAGGAGGAGGAGGAGGAGGAGGAGGAGGAGGAGGAGGAGGAGGAGGAGGCGGAGGAGGAGGAGGAGGAGGAGGAGGCGGAGGAGGAGGAGGAGGAGGAGGAGGAGGAGGAGGCGGAGGCGAAGGATTTCCAGGATTTCCGCCTTCACGTAGTGAAATCAAAACATAAAAACCCCACACTGCCAGGGCATATGCAGTGTGTTGGGAGAGACCTAGTGCACCTCGGCCGCTCCAAACCTCAAACGGCCTAGGAGGGGAGGGGACGACTCAGAGGTGCACGTACACGTCCAACGCCTCCAGGACTGGCCCCCCCCCGAGGGGAGGGGCCCCCCCTGTCACCCGCCAGGCACTCCAGGCACTGGCCGGGGACACAGGACACCCCTCGCCACCAGGCGGGGCACCTGGTGCGAGTCTCGGGGCGGGTGCCCTGGCCTGCTCCCCCCAGTCCCCTTGCCCAAGTGGGACAGAGCAGGACTCCCCATGAGCCTGGCCGAAGCCAGACCCCCCCTCCACACCCTGGCGCGACCGGGGAGTCGCCGGGCCAAGACAGTGGAGGGGACCCGAATCGGCCGTAGCCGAATCGGGATTACCGTTTAGGCCCGAAGACCGGGTTCGGTGCCCCCACTGCCGAAACCACCCACCCACCCACGGCAATGCCGTGGGTGGGTGGGTGGGTGGTTTCGGCAGTGGCGCAGCCCCCATACAGGCCGCGACTAAGCGGGTTTCAGTTCCCCCGGACGCCGGGAGGTGCCGCCCACACCAACCGGCTGCCCGCCCGGGGGCGGGCGGAGGCGAAGGAGGAGGGGGAGGCGGAGGAGGAGGAGGAGGAGGAGGAGGAGGTGGAGGAGGAGGAGGAGGAGGAGGAGGGAGAAGGAGGAGGGGAGAGGAGGAGGAGGAGGAGGAGGAGGAGGGAGGAGGAGGAGGGGGAGGAGGAGGAGGAGGCGGAGGAGGGGGAGGAGGCGGAGGAGGAGCTGGAGGAGGAGGGGGAGGAGGAGGAGGAGTAGGAAAAGGGGGAGGGGGAGGGGGATGGGGAGGAGCAGGAGGAGGAGGAGGAGGATGAGGAGGCGGAGGAGGAGGAGGAGGAGGCAAGGGGTAGAGAGAGCCATTCATCATCGGAGCTCGGACGCGGAGGAGGCTGGGTAGCACGCCAAGACTGCTCCCTGACCTTCGAGCCACAACTGAATCGGCCTCCTGAAGGTCCGAGCGAAGTAAACAGCTGCCGCTGCATCGCCCATGAAGGCGCCACACGAGTTCCGAAGAGTCTGCTGCCCGTCGCTGCCTGGACTGTAAATGTGCTTAGCTCATGTCTCTGGGGCCCCTTCGGCCGTCCGGGGGCGATATTGAAGGTTTCTTTGCCCGTCTTGGACGTTGTGAAAACCGGCGAGTATGCGACACATGCTGTTTTTCCCCAGGGATGGGACAATTTTTGTTTCTTGGGGCCCTCTTTGGACGCATCTTGGGCGCCTTTTGGGGCGTCTTGGCAGCTTCGGAGGCCGTCTGGAGGCTATCGTGGGCGTCAAAGAGCGATATTTCGGCGACTCGTGGCCCTCTGGGACCGTCTGGGGAGCGTTTTGGTGCCTTATAGGCCCGTTTTGGAGCCCTCTGCTCCCCCATGACGCGTTCGGGTTGGGGTCACGCCGGGCCAGGGGGGGGGGGTCAAATTGCCGGTTTGGGGTCCCTGGGGGGGGATTATGGGGGGGGGGATAATCTCACACGCCTAGAGACCCACAAGGGGTCGGCGGATTATGATGATGCTGATGATGTTGATGATGATGATACTGATGATGATACTGATGATACTGATGATGGTGGTGCTAATGATGAGGGTGAGGATGCCGGTTGCGATGGTGATGGTGGTGATGATGATGACGATGAGGATGATGATGAGGATGATGATGCTGGTGGTGCTGATGATGATGATTCTGATTTTGATGATGATATGGTGATGAGGATGATTGCGATGATGATGATGATGATGATGATGATGATGATGATGATGATGATTATTATGATGATGCTGTTGATGATTGTTTTGGTGGTGGTGGTGATGATGATGTTGATGATGCTGATGATGATGACGATGATGACGATTATGCTGCTGCTGATGATGATGGTGATGATGATGAGGATGATGATGAAGATGATGATGCTCATGATGATGCTGCTGCTGCTGCTGATGATGATGCTGATGATGATGATGATGATGATGGTTTTGGTGGTGGTGGTGGTGATGATGATGATGCAGCTGATGCTGATGCTGATGATGATGACGATGATGACGATGCTGCTGCTGATGCTGATTCTGATGATGATGACGATGATGACGATGCAGCTGCTGATGATGCTGATGGTGCTGATAATGATGACGGTGGTGGTGATGGTGGTGATGAGGAGGACGAGTAGGATGATGATGATGAGGATTTTGATTACGAGGAGGAGGAGGAGGAGGAGGAGGAGGAGGAGGAGGAGCAGCAGGAGAAGGATGATGAGAACGACCCTCCCAAGAGGACGCCTCCGACAGCCTCCTGAACCCTGCCAACGTCATCCTCGCGCAGATTCTCGCCAAGGGCTTTGTCCTAATGGCTAACGCCATTCCGCTGGCCCCCGAACGGAGCTGAAACGCCGTGCCTGTTCGTGCTTGCCACGGTGGTCGTAGAGGGCCTGGATGTTAGATGGTTGTATCTGGCACCACCGTTAATGCTGGCCTTAGTTTTTGAGGATACCTTTCTGATTTTTTTCATGCTTGGGGTTTCTGCCGTGCAGTGCTCTTCGTCGTTCTGGACATCTCCATGGGGCCTTGGGCCCTCGGCTCATGCTCTTGGCCCACTGTCTTGAGGCCCTGTGATGCCCTCTGCCCGAGGATCGCTGAAGATCCATGGAGGAGGAGGAGGAGGAGGAGGAGGAGGAGGAGGAGGAGGAAGAGGAGGAGGAGGAGGGGAGGAGGAGGAGGAGGAGGGGGAGGAGGAGGAGCAGGAGGAAGAGCCGTGTTTTTAGCCGTGGGGAGGTGGCAGGACAGGTTTGCATGGCTACAGACATCGTCTCTTACAGCCGTTAGCAGCAGCAGCAGGAAGAGGAGGAGGAGGAGGAGGAGGAGGAGGAGGAGGAGGAGGAGGAGGAGGAAGAGGAGGACGAGGAGGAGGAGGAGGAGGAACATCCTGTAGATCCCGTCAGCCTCTGCGGTGCCCTGCACCCGCGCCCCGCGCGTGGCCGACCGGGCTCTTTTCCGCGCACGGGCGTCGGCCCGGCTGCCCGCCCGCCCCCTCTCCACCCCCGTCGATCGAGAGGGGCTCTTCCGCTGAGACGTGTCAGTCAAGGGAGGAAAAACCACCCGGACCGGACAACCGGCGTTTGCTAAACGGCCCTGGGCGTTTACCAAACAGCCCTGCCCTGTTCGATTCCTGCCTCGGGCGCGTGCGCTACAGGCCTCGCGTGTCGGGGTGGTTATTATCAGGGTGGATTTTCTGCCCTCTTGCAGGGGTTGCCGCGAGCGGGGGTGAACGATTCCTCGCCCTCCTCCTCATCCTCCTTGGTACCCCTCCCCTGCCCCATCTTCCTCTTCTCTCCCCGCCCGCCAGAGACAGGTGTCACAGTGCACACGGGTTGTGCGGTACCTGCCGTCCGTCCACGGAGCATTTCGCACCCTGGTCGAGTTTGCGGGGCCCTTTTGCCGCAACCCCGGGCGCGCAGGTGTGATTGGGGGGAGGACAGGGGGCGGTGCAAGGGGAGGAGAGCAGCCACTTCTTTTGCACGCCCCTTGCTGCTGCTCTCCCTTCTGTTCCTCCCCAAGTATCCCCTCCTCAGTTTCCCCCCTCCTTTGAAGTGAAGATCACCTCAATCAGCGATGTTGCCCCGAAGCCGCTGTGGCTCCTCCAAGGACCCCTTGACCGATCTCGACCACCGAGCGATCGGAAAGAAGGCAGCGCGAAGCTCATCCTAGTTTTACCTAGTTTCCCCACCCCCTGCAGGGTCCACGTCGATCCGATCGACCAGTCTGATTCGATATCGGTTTCGGCCGCACCGATCCGATTCGATCTCGATACTCTGAACACCTGATCTGTCCCACTTCCTGCACGGCGCTGGTGTGCATCCTGGCGCGGCCGCACCGGTTCGTGCCGAGGCAGGCAGACTCAATGCCCGCTCCTCCTCCTCCGAATCGAACCGCTCCTGCTTTCCCCGTTGCACCCTGCCACCCCGAGCGGGCGGGGGTCGACGGATGGGGCGCTCCCTGGGGCCGGTGGTGGGCCGGCTGAGCGTGCACGGGCAGTGGCACGGCTTCGCGCTGCTGGCGCTCGGGCTGCTACTGATCTCGGAGCTGCTGACGACCTTCGTCCTCGAGAAGGAGGGCGCTCCCGCTCCAGCTCGCCAGGTGTTGGGAGACGTCGCGGGCGACGAGCGCGTCCATATCCGCGCCCTCGCGGTCTGGGTGCAGGGGCGCGATCCCATGGATACGCGATCCCATTGATGCACTCCGCGCGGGGCATCCACGCAAAGCCGCCCTGTGTCCATGGGATTTCGGCCTGGGGCTCCAGTCCAGCGAGGCCGCGGATACGGATACGTTTACTGCCCACGAAGGTGGTCCGCCACAAAACATATACACAGACACCCTCCAATGGATTGCTCCTGGGCCTCAATGGATGGTGGCGGTCTATAAACCACCACTTGGGAGCCAGCAACTTTATACACCGCTGCCCTCCCAAGGTACATGCAAAGTTCGTCGGAGGGTGTCAGTATGTATATTTTCGTGGCGTAGGTGGGGCTGGAGATGGCGACTATTAGCCAGCGTCACGGAGATCCCCTTCTGACTCAGGTCGAACCGTCGAGCCCGTCGAGCCCCGACTCGGCCAGCCTCCCGGCAGAGGCCGTCGAGGTGAGGAGACGCAGCGTCGAGCTTGTTCGGAGGTCGCAGCTGAGCATAACGTCTGTGGAGATCAGGGGAGGAAGAGGTTCCCATGCCGCTACCTTTCCCTCGTTTTCGCTTTTTTGGGCCTCCTGGGAGGCCCTCGTCGCTACCGCTGGATTTACGTGGAAATCCTTGTCAGAACGCACCCTGGGAGAGGTACGGGAAGTAGCGGTATCGGTACCTTTTGGTTTCCCCAGGAGAACTTATCCACATCGTCGTGGGAGAGTTTCCGCACTTCCGAGGCCTGCTTGGACTTCGCGCGGCTGAAGCACGGCGACTCAGAGAAGCTGATGCAGGCATCCCGCGCGCTTGCCATGACAGTGGCAAACCATCCTCAAGTGGGGCTTTGGCTGGCAACAGCCCCCCAGGATGTGTGCATCATCGCTCCAGCTTACAGGATGGTGCCAACAGCGGGAGCTTTCATGGCCATCGAGGTCCACAAGGAGCTCTGCTCGATGGGAGGCGGGAAGCCAGTGAGGATCTTCCAAATGAAGCGACGTAGTATTACAAACGGTGATTTTGCTACTATGGACATGAAGAGTCGGAAGGCACAGCTAGCCAACCAGTTCTACTTGGACGATTCCGATGCGTCTGAAGTGGAAGGGAAGTATTGCCTTGTCATTGACGACGCGATCATGTATGGCACTCATGCCCAGGTGGCCATCCACACGCTGGAAAACTATGGTGTCGCCAAGGACGCCATCATCTCCTTCTGCTACATTGCCGCCACTCCCGATCTACTTCTTTCCAATCCAACTGTAGAGCACGACCTCAACGTGGCATTCACACCTACACTGGATGCACTGCAGGGAATATTCGGGCAGGCTCAGCTCACCTTGACATTGCGCTTGGTCAAGCTTCTCTTGAATTTGCCAGCGGAGACACTGAGCGCGTTGATTGACTGGATGGCTGTTGCGCGGCCAGATGTCTTGAAGGTGATAAGCAAGGCAATTAAGGATGAGGGTCTGAAGGAGACCGAGCTATTGCACTCCAGAACGGGTTCGAGTCATGCAAAGGTTGCGGCTGCATCAACGAAGAACGTGGTCGAGCCAACTCCTGGACCGCTGGCGCCGGCGGTGCTGGTGCGGCATGGCCAATCCGTTGCCAACGTCGCCAAGGAGTCCAATGTCTACGAGTACCTGTACAGGAAATTCGCAGATCCCTCTCTGGTCGATGTCAGGCTGACTCCGCGCGGCGAGGAAGATGCGCGCCGTGTCGGTGCGGAGCTTTTTGGAGAGGGCGGTGTGGCCCCATCCGACATCGGTTTGGTCGTATTGTCGCCTCTCTCGCGAGCCTTGCAGACGGCCTTGCTAGCACTTCAGGCAGCTGGCGTGACGCTGACGGAGCAGTGCCGTGTGGTTGCGCACCCGTTCGCGGCGGAGCGCTTCTTCGAGCCGGACATAGCCGAGAACTTGCTGGCATCAGAGGTGTTACCAGGCAAGATTGCAGAGGTGGGAGGCCGCGCAATGGACTTCAGTCTCTGCCTCCCTTTCCACCACCTTCCCCCACCTCCCCACCTCCTTCCTCGCCTCCGTCCTCCCCCCTCCTCTTCCTAATTACTCCCGCTCCTCCCACTCTTACACAATTACACAGTCTGAATACTACTCTCCTCTCTCCCCTGACTCCGTCCAGAAGATATTCAGCCCTCTCCGCGTATTGCTTTTTCACCGGATTTTCAAACTTTGACTTCCCCACTGATTTTCCCCACATGTTTCGTGGGGTCAGGTTTTTTTCCCTCCCGCGTCGCACCCGCGTCTTCCTCACCTCCCTCCTCTCCTCTCCCCCTCCTCTTCTTCCCCTCACACACGCGGAACGCATGCACGGCGCGTACACGCGTCTACATACAGCCGCACGCATCCGCACACTCGCAGACACACCATGGACGCCAGTGCGCGCCTGACGTGTTGACTGTATCATACACCCACTTTGAGACATGCGTCCACCTACAACCGCACACACACACACACATCATACACATGCACAAGGCACACAAGACACAAGACACGCATGCAGACACACGAGCGCACAGACACAAACTAACAACGCCAGTGCATGCCTGGCGTGCTCACTGCATCCCACACCCAAAACGTATGCGCCACGTCCAGACCCAGTCGTCCATGCACAGCAGGCGTGGCACTTTCTCGACACCATAGGGGGTACGCAGGTTGTGGTCTCTGCGCGCGGCCGCTGTGCACGCCGGCCGTGCAAGGCATAGCAGGCGTGGCACTTTCTCGACACCATAGGGGGTGCGCAAGGGGGTGGTCTGAGCGCGGCCGCTGTGCACGCCGGTCCTGCAGGGCATAGCAGGCGTGGTACTTTCTCGACACCATAGGGTGTGCGCAACGGGTGCGGTGTCCCAGGGCCCTTCGCGCGTGGCATTGTCTTGACGCCACGGTGGCACGCAAGCGGGGGGGGCGCTATCATCATCACCATCAAAAACTGTAGCCGCCCTGGCTCATGCTGGCTCAGACAGCTGGATACGTGAACGCGGGCGACCGCCAGGGACTCTCCGTCAAAGGTACGGTCCCCCTCATGGCGCCCAAATTACCCATGTCCACGCTGCCACCGCCGTGCGAGCAACTCAAGAAATCAATGCTAGAGATGGGCGCCGAGGTGAACCTCGATGGTTTGCGCGGATACGTCGTCAGGCATGAGAACATCTTGGTACAAAGTGCGTTCCATGCTTACCACCAACAGCTGATGAAGTGGTGGCCCGAGACGCAACTCACCAAATGCGAACAGAGGCCGCGTAAACGGGGCGGCGGCGATGCAAGGTGATCGCTTTTTATCCATTGTTTTGCCGAGCGGCGCCGGCCCTCGCACCCCCCTCCCCCCCTCCCATGGAGTAGATCTTGGCTGTTTTTGGCGCCTGTTTCAGGCAGGTGGGGTTTCCCCTGCAGGCCGCGCAGTCCCAACGGGGCGCCATTATGCAGAGGTCTGGAGCCAGCCCCCCCCCCCGCCCAATGTCGAAACGTCGATAGAAAAACGCTCACGAGGAGGCAGTGCTTGGTGAGGTACTTGCTGGGCCCTTCTTCGGTGTCGGCGCGGCGTCGCCGACGGTATCGGCGGGGCTACGGCCACCAGCATCATTCTCGCATGTTCCATTGTAGCTGTCGTTACTTCAGACATGTTATAAGTGTGTGTGTGTGGGGGTACCTCGGGAGCGTAATTTACACCGACTGCCTTCGGTCTTTCAAGAGGATGCTCCCGCTGCAGAGTTCGCCTCGTTTTAGGATCGGCGCGCTCGACCCAGCGCGGGCCATTTTCTGGATCGGAGTCATTCTCATTGTTGTCGCCCCCTTCCTTTCCCCTTCTCCGCCTTCCCTGGTGTTCCTGCTCCCCCCGCTCTTTCCATTCCAATTCCCGCTGCTGCTGTTCGTCCTCCTCCTCCTCCTCCTCCTCGTTCCTCCTCCTCCTCCTCCTCCTCCTCCTCCTCCTCCTCCTCCTCCTCCTTGTCCTCATACTCATCCTCCTGCTCATCCGCTTCCTCCCCCTCCTCCTCCTCCTCCTCCTCTTCCTCCTCCTCCTCCTCCTCCTCCTCCTCCTCCTCCTCCTCCCCCTCCTCCCCTCGTGCGTTCGCAATTTCTCTTTTCCGATTGCGCACAGCACGGTGCGTTATTTGTTTGAGCTCAAGGTCCGCTACGACGCGCGTCCTCGGATCTAGAGAACACGTCGCCGCAATGTGAACGGATGGGTGGGAGGGGTCAACTATCAGATTTGGCGCGAACTCTCTTAGCTTGCTCCCCCCTTATCCTCCATTCCTATCTCCTTCCTCCCTCTGCTGTTTCTGCTCCTGCTGCTGCTGCTCCTCCTCCTCCTCCTCCGTCTGCTCCTCCTGCTGCTCGTCGTCCTCCTCCTCCTCTTCCACTTCCTCCTCCTCCTCCTCCTCCTCCTCCTCTTCCTCGTCCTCTTCCTCCACTCCTATCTCCCCCCCTCCCGCTTCCTGTCGTCCCGAGGTGGGCGGTCGCGGTGTGGATTTCAGCCTCTGCCGCGAGTGGGCCGTTAAGGCCCGATTCGAAGCCAAGCCCAGGCGGCCCGTGCGGACATCGGAGGCGCCGCTGTTCCATCCATTGCGGTCGTCGTCGTCGACGACGACGATGACGAAGAGGAGCAGGAGGAGGAGGAGGAGGAGGAGGAGGAGGAGGAGGAGGAGGAGGAGGAGGAGGAGGAGGAGGATAATGATTTTGAGGGGAGCGGGAGGAGGGGGATGAACAGGATTGAGGGGAGGAGGACGGTTGGGAGGAGGAAGAGGAGGCGGAGGTTGAGGGGGAGGAGGAGGAGGAGAAGAGAGGAGGAGGAGGAGGAAGAGGAGGAGGAGGAGGAGGTGGAGGATGGGGAGGATGAGGAGGATGCAGGAAGGGGTGGAGGAGGAAAAGGGAGGAGGAGGAGGAGGTGGAGGAGGAGCATGAGGAGGTAGGGGGGTGATGAGGAGAGGCGGGAGGAGTTCGAATCGGGTGCCAACGGGGCATGGTGGTGGCGAGGATGGTGATCGTGATTGTGATGGTGAATGCTGGTGGTGGGAGTTGTGGTGGTGGTGGTGATGTTGATGGTGATAATGATGATCATGCTGTTGATGATGCGGATGATGCTGATGATGTTGATGCTGAGTATGCTGATGATGGTGCTGCCGATGATGATGATGATGATGATGATGATGATGATGATGATGATGATGATGATGATGATGATGATGATGATGATGATGATGATGATGATGATGATGCGGATGATGATGATGATGATGAATATGATGTTGTGGATGCTGTTGTTGATGATGCTGTCGTTGATGATGATGTTGAGACTGATGCTGCTGATGATGATGATGGTGATGCTGATGATGTTGTTGATCATGATGCTGATGCTGTTGCGGCTGACGATGCTGATGCTGCTGCTGCGGCTGTTGTTGCTGATGCTGATGCTGATGATGAGGGTGGTGGTGCCGAATGCGGTTACGATGTGATGATGGAGCGATGACGGCGGTGCCGACGGCGATGAGAACGATTGTGATATTGACGAGGACGTGCAGAGGAGTTGGATAATGATTATGATGAACATGTGGAGGCGCATGGGAAGGGATCGGAGATTGAGGTTGAGTATCAACAGTACTAGATGAAGAGGATGGGGGAGGAGGGGGAGGAGGATGATGATGATGAGGAGGAGGAGGAGGACACGAGACAGGTGCTATGGGCTTTCATGGAGCCGCATCAGTTGTGAGGGGAGTCTGGAGGGACGGAAGAGAGAACGAGAAGACGAGTAAAGTAGAGAGAGAGAGAGAGAGAAAGGGAGAAGTAGAGAGAGAGAGAGAGAGAGCAAGAGAGAGAGAGAGAGAAAGAGATATATATATATAGAGAGAGAGAGAGAGAGAGACATAGAGAGAGAGAGAGAGAGAGAGAGAGAGAAAAAAGAGAGAGAGAGAGAGAGCGATAGAGAGAGAGAGAGAGTTGAAGAGGAACGCGCGCACGCATCCCACCCCCCCAACCGGATTGTTCGGGGTGGGATGCGTTGACGCGCGCTCGCGATGCTCGTCTCCCAGCCCGCCTCCACCCTGCCTCGGCTGCGCCCGAGAGTGAGCTAGCTCCCCCCGCGCCTCCGCCCCCGCGCCGCCCTTTTACCAGGGGGAAGATGACATGCGTCGCGCTTCCCCGCGGATATATCGCTGCGCGACTTTAGGCGAACGGCGATGGCAGCGAACGACCAACGACGCACGATCATCAAACGGACGTCGAACGACGAACGCCGAACGACGACCGACGAACGACGACGAGCGACGAACGACGAACGGCGAACAACGAACGGTGACCAGGATGACCACTGTCGACGAAGAGGCGGACGACGACGAATTACAGACGACGAGCGGCGAACGTCGAACGACGCCCCACACGCGGGCGTATCGCAGCGCGGCCACCGCGCTGGGGAGGGGTGCGCATGACAAATGGAACGGCTTTCTCCGGAACTCTCAGGCCGCGTGAGGATTCCTCGGGCGCGGACTCGCGCGTCGCCTCGGCGGCGCCTGCGGCGCGCGGCGCCAAGCGGCCCCCCTCGCGCGACTGTTTGGCGCTCGCGCGCGCGGGGAACGACCCGCGCGCGGCATCGGCGGCGACAACCTCGGGACGCAGACTCCTCGGACGAGGGCTCGCGCGTCGCGTCGCCAGCGGCCTCGGCGCACGACTTTCGCGTGGGGCGTCGGCGCGCGGCCCCCTACGCAGCTTCTTCGCGCGACCGGGTAGCGCTCGCGCGCGCAGGAGAGGACCCGCGCGCCGCGTCGGCGATGCTCCCAGAACGCAGGTTCACGCGCGGGGGTCGTCGCGCGGCGCCATGCAGCTTCTTCGCGCGAAATCGGTGGAATGATCTTTTGGCGTCGTGGTTTCGACCCGCGAAAGTGACGGCGTTTGGGTGCGCGACTGGACGCGCGCGCGTGCGCGCGGATGTTCTCTGCGGATGCGCTGCAAACACGCCGCATATGCGGCCGTATCGCTACGCGACCGCCGCGCGCGGGGGGAGGTTGTGGGAGTCGGCAAACAAAAAAATGGAACTGGGGCGTTTCGGGACGTCTGGGGGCGCTTCTAAAGCGTTTGAGGGCGTTTGGGAGCGCTTGCGAACGTGTGGAAGCGTCTGGGAGCGCCTGGGGCCGCCCGGGGAGTGCCGGGGGCTGCCTGGGAGTGCGTGGGCGGTCCGGGAGCGTCTGGCAGCGCCTGTGAGCTCCTGGGGGCGCCTGCGAGCGCCTTGTGCCGCCTGAGGAGCGCCGGGCGCCGCCCCGCCGAGGAACGTTCGGGCGCTCTTGGAGCGACTGGAAGGGCCCAGGGACATTTCAGACGTCTGGGAACGCCTGGAAGCGCCTGGAGCCCCCTGGGGAGCGCCTGGCGCTGCCTGGGAGCCTGTTGGGCGTTCCTGGAACGTTTGTGAGCGCCAGGGGGCGTCTGGAAACGTCTGGGAGCGCCTGGGAGTGCATGGGACCGCCTGCGGAACGACTGAGGCCGCTTGCGGGCGCTTGGGCGCTCCTGGAGCGTGTGGGAGCGCTGGGGAGCTCCTGGGAGCGTCCGAGGCGCGGATCCTGTGGCTTTTACCAGTGATCGCGGCCTCGTAGGCGCCGATCGTGTTTCTTTTTTTGGTTTTGTTTGTTTTCGTTGCTTGTTTGCTTGCTTTTTTGTTTTCCAATCGCTCTCTCTTTCTCTCTCGTTTTTTTTTTTTTTTTTTTTTTTTTTTTTTTTTTTTTTTTTTTTTTTTTTTTTTTTTTTTTTCTCTCTCTCTCTCTCTCTCTCCCTCTCTCTCTCTGTATATCTTTATATAGATGGTCAATGTTTGACGAGGCGCTGCTCGCCATCTGGAACCTCTCAAGACTTACTTTAAAGCTTTTGGTGCCGGCGGGCCTCGTTAAAGACCCCCCGCGACCCAGACTCGATCCAGAGTGGGAGTCATTCTTTCTGTGCCACCCGCACCGTTCGGAGGCGGGCGAGCTAACTTTCTCTCGCCGACGTAGTGCATCTGGCGTTCGGCTGGACGCTCCTACACTCCAGGCGATGCTTAAGAAAACCCAAGTTTTCGGCCAGAGGCTCGATTATTCTTAATGTTTCAATGTGAATCCCAAGATTTTGATAGAAGTTCTGGGTTTTTATTCAAATTCTGAGACTCTGAGTTTCTTAACCCATGATTTTTTAAGCATTTCGCAGGGTGTACCACTGATCGCTCGCTGCCTGACGATAGTCAGGACCGACGTTCGCTCCGGAGAGAGAGAGAGAGAGAGAGAGAAAGAGAGAGAGAGAAAGAACGAGAGAGAGAGAGAGAGAGCGAGCGAGAGAGAGAGAGAGAGAGAAATAGAGAGCCAGAGAGAGAATGAGAGAGATAGAGAGAGCCAGAGAGAGAGAGAGAGACGCAATACAAACAGACAAGAGAAAGAGAGAGAGAGAGAGAGATAGAGAGAGAGAGAGAGAGAGAAAGGGAGAGAGAGAGGGAGAGAGATAGAGGAGGGAGCGCCCGGGGGTGGGGGTGGTGGTTGGGGTGGTGACATTGATGCTGCTGCTGATGAAGATGGTGATGGTGATTGTGACAATGCTGCTGATGATGATGTTGGCTATGTTGATGATGCTCATGTTGTTGATGAAGATGCTGCTGCTGCTGAGTAGGGTGACGATTCTGAGGGTGACGTTGGTGATGCTGATGCTGATGATGATGGTAACGCTGACGATGACGATGCTGATGATGCTGATGATTATGATGATGCTGGCGGTGGTGGTTATGACGACTGTGTTGATGATGGCGGCAATGATGCTGCTGATGGTGTTGCTGCTGATGATGATGATGATGAATATGATGGGATTGATGATGGGATTGATGATGGTGATGGTGGTGGTGGTGGTGGTGGTGATGATGATGATGATGATGTTGATGCTGTTGTTGTTGATGGTGATGATGATGCTGCTGCTGATGCTGCTGCTGATGCTGCTGCTGCTGATGATGATGATGATGATGATGATGATGATGAGGATGGTGATGGAAATGGTCGTGATGATGTTAATGGTACTGTGAAATCACAGACCGATGATGGTTCATGGGAGTCTGATAGTGTGGAGGTTGGGAGATGCTGGGGGAGGAGCGAGGGTGCCCTCCTTTGGCTGCTCATTTTCCTCTCCCTGCTTTCTTTTTGCACAAGTGTCATCGGGCGATAAGTCGTGGCCGCCAGGTGCTGATGGACGCATTCAGCCCGTCGAGCCCGAACGGCCCATCGAGGGTTTAGACACTCCTAAGTCTGGATGAGCACACTTTGGGAGCATCTTCATGGGTTTAGGCGCCCACTCGCCTGTAGCGGGTTCCCTGAGTCCCCCTGCTCCCCTGCTTCCTTTGCCCAAGCAGTGAAGTTGCTTCCGCTGGAGCAGCCTACGCTGGGGCGAAGGAACCGATGTCCTGGTGAATAGCCAGGCCCAGACGGCCGAACCGGGGGCACGGGTGCTCTTCACTCGCCAGGGTCAGGCGTGAGGAGTGGACAGTCGCGCTTTCACCAGAGGCTGGGAGGCGATGGCAGAAGTTTCCAGGTGCGGGTGGTGAGGGAGTTGATGTGGCAGCTCCGCTTTCACCTCCCTTTGATCTGTGAGGGAGAAAACGAGGAGATGGGGGCCTGGTGTGACCGAAGGGGGGGGGGACTGGAGAGAGCGAAGCACCCGTGCGAGCGGAAAACTGACATCGGGTGAGCTGGCCCGAGGGCGCCTCAGAGTTCATCGGAGCTGAAGAGCACATCGTCGAGAGGTGCTGCAGCCCACCCTGAGCACAGGGCTCCTCTGCAGCAGCAGCCAGACAAGTCGGGTTTGCACCCTCGTGCCTTGCTAAACTCTTGGCGCGAATCGTCACTGCCGCCAGATGGGGGAGAGGAGGGGAGTGTGTGTGTGTGTGTGTGAGGCCGGGCGCCTCCCCTCCTCCCCTCGTGCATCGCGGCCTAATTCGCAGTTGTTCGTCCAACATTCACCCTTCCGCCAGCACAGTCACTCTGCCTAGCCGCCGACGCAAAAGTGTGTGTGTGTGTGTGTGACGCCGCTCTTCTCCTCTTCTTCTTCTTCTTCCTCCTCCTCCTTCTCCGCCTCCTCCTCCTCCTTCTCCTCCTCCTCCTCCCTCCTCCCCCTTCTCCTCTTCCCCCTTCCTCCCCCCTCCCCCTTCGCAGGGGCATGGTGTCGCATCCTGGTACCAGCGCCACCTAGTAATGCGAAGGGCGTGCTGTTCAGTTGGGTTGGGCCTTCTCGGAGGAGTCAAGAAGGCGGCTCTTTTCTGGCCGTGGTGGAGGGTCAGAAGCCGGGCGAAGGCTGGCAAACCCGTGGCCGCTAAAGCGGAGCTCTGGGAAGCTGTTTTTTCTTCAGGGAAGCAGCCTGTTTATTGTTTAGTGCGCTGAGCTTTATTCCGGGAATCGAAGGATTGCAACACAAATCATTCGTTTTGCAATCCTTCGTTTTGCAATCCTTCGTTTTGCAATCCTTCGTTTTGCAATCCTTCGTTTCTTCCTTCCGGGAAGACCGTTTTAGCAGCCACGGATTTGCCAGCCCTCTCGCCACCGGCTCTCGCTTCGGGCGTGGCACCTCTGGTCGCCCCCCGTCGGTCTGCAGACCTGGGCCGCAGCGTCTCCGGGTCGGCGAGGCGGGGCCCGCGGCATCGGGGCCCGCGTCGTGTCCGGAGGCGGGACTTCGGTCAAGCCCGGCGCGGCCATGAATTTGTTTGATGATTTTTGGATATTTTTGAGTCTTTTTGGAATCTATTTGAGTATTCTTTGAATGTTTTTCGTTTGGGGCATGGTTTGAGTATTTTTGAATATTTTTGGTGTGTCTCTGATGTTTCGTCCGAAATCAGCCCGTAGGGGGACACGCCCGACCTAAGACTTCGTCTGCCCCGCAGTACCACCGGAGCCACACACCACCTCAAGGAAGGTGGCCGCGGGTGGGCCAGGCGACATGTCCTTGTTCCGTTCCGTCGCGGTTATTCGCCTGGGTGCACCCTTCTGGGAGCGACTTCTGTTGTCGCGTTAGCACAGCTTCCGTAGCTTCCTCCCCCTCCCCTTTCTCCTCCCCCTCCTCCGCCGCCTCCTCCCCCTCTCCCCCCCCCTTCCTTCTCCCTCCTCCGTCTCCCGTCTCCCGTCCCCCCCCTTCTACTCACCCTCTACTTGCTGTTGCTGCTCCTCCTTCTGCTTTCTTTTGTGTTTCCTTTCTCATCCTTTTCCTCATCTCTTTTCTCCACATTTTCCTCGTCGTCGTCGTCCTGCTCCTCCTCCTCCTCCTCCTCCTCCTCCTCCTCCTCATTCTTCGTTCGTGGCTTTCGGTTGAGAGTCTGACAGCAACAGCAGTGGCTGCCAGCAAGCTGCTTTTTAAAGCCTGGCGGAGACTAATTCAGTCCCCTGCCCAGCGGTCGTTCCCCACAAGGCTCCAGTACTACATAGTCTCTTTGTTGCATCTGTTTTGACTCTTTCCCTTCCTCCTCCGCCTGCTCCTCCCTCCTCCCTCCTCCTGCTCCTCCTCCTCCTCCTCCTCCTCCTCCTCCCTCACTCTCCTCCTCCTCCCTCACTCTCCTCCTCCTCCCTCCTCCTCCTCCTTTCCCTCCTCCTCTCTCCTCCTCCCTCCCTCCCTCCCTCCCTCCCTCCCTCCCCTCCCTCCCTCCTCCCTCCCTCCTCCTCCTCCTCCTCCTCCTCCTCCCTCCTCCCCTCCTCCTCCTCCTCCCTCCTCCTCCTTCCCTTCGCCTCTCCCGCGGGCGGCAGAGGCCGAGACGGCACAGAACGTATCCGCGCTGCGGGACTTCGTCTCGTCCTCCACTCCGGCCGGCACTGTGGCCCTCGTCTTCTGCCACTGGGGCGTCATCAAGGCGCTGTCGGGCCAGGACCGGGCGCAGCCGTATCGTTTACAGTCGGCCCGGATTAGTAGGTCGACCTTGCCAAATCAAGGGTACCTTTGTGTCCTGTGTCTCGCGACCCGTGCCTCCTGCATTCCTATGGCAATGTGACCCTCGGAAGGGTCTTTTGTCCTCTCGCTTGTCCTGTCCAATGAAGTCCGACTGTAGCTGATCCCTATCGTTAAGTACGGCATGTCCCTCTACAGGAGGAGTACTCCAGAATAGTACAAAACAGTCTGGTGACATTTTTCGGTGCTCGCTGGACTGTTTTGAGTATTTTTTCATCCAGAAATCCGCCTGTAGGAGGACATGCCCAGCCCAACCCTATCGCCATCTCCATCCCCATCCCGATCCCCGCCATCCCACCCCAGCTGGGGAGATGCCCCTCGAAACGCGAAGGGACACAGCCTACTGATGGCCTTCGGCCCATCCCGGCACCGTGCCTGGTTTTGGGTACGAAGTCTAGTGGATGTTTGTTTGGATCTCGTGGAGGGCCTCTTGGGGGGCCTCTTGGAGGCAGTTTTGAGGCCTCCTGGGAGCCGTCTTCGGGCCTCTTGGGGCCTCTTTTGGGTCTCTTGGGGCCTATTGGGGTCACTTGAGGGCCTCTTGGGGCCTCTTGGGCGCCTCTTGGGGCCTCCTGGGGGCCTCTCGGGGCGGAAGGCTCGGATTTTCGGTTCGTGTTCCCTCTCTTGGGCCCCTTTTGGGGCCGTCTTGGGGCCCTCTTGGGCCGTATTGGGCGCCATTTGGGCTGTTTTGGAGCGCTCTTAGGCCGTCTTGCGGCCCTCTTGGAGCCCTCTTGGGCCGTTTTGCGGTGGTCTTGGGGGCTTCTTAGGGCGCCTTGGAGCGTCGGAAGGCCGAATAGGCGAGAACGCCACAATCTTTCGAAAACCTGAGGAACATCTGTGATGTTTGCCTCTTGGGGCCCTCTTGGGAGGCCTTTCGAGATCTCTGTGGCCGTCTTAGAGGCTTCGTGGCCCGTCTTCGGCCCATCTTGCGCGTCCTCGAGCGATCTTGGGGCGACTTGGGGCCCTTCTTGACCGTTTTGAGGCCTCTTGGAGCGAACCATCTGGGCTCGTTTTGGGGCCCTCCTGGGCGGGATAGGCTGACGCGAGCGATTCCGGCAGACCCTGGGCCGGCCCAGCAGACCCCAGGCCAGCCCGCGAAACGTCTGGCCTGGGCCCGTAGAGATTGACAAATTCTGGCTGCAGCAGCAGCACAGCCTTTTCAGTGCTGCATGAGCCTTGGGGCACTCCACTTCGTACCGGGGGCACTGGCGGATGTCCCCATCCAGGGGGGTGAATCGGTCAGTGAGGCCCAGGCCACGCCAGCGGTATCGCTTAACTAACGGAGGCTCGTGTCGCGCTGGCCCAGCGGCGACGCAAGTGCCGCTGTGTAGTGTTGACCGCCGCCAGTGGCCCAGAACTGGCCAGTGCAGAGCGATCTGCGCTATCGGAAAGCCACGGCCGCTCAAGCCGGGGGTACGTCGAGGGGGAGGTTCGCCCAAGGTGGGGGTTCGGAGTGAACCCAGGCTGAAACTAATATTTTTTGAAGAAGAAAACCGCCATAAGCATAAACTTTTGGCGCTCCGCGCGGAGCGCCAAAAGTTTATGTTCATGTCTTTCTTTTACTGTTTCCCCCCCCAAAAAGCTTCCCTTCTCCAGGGACCGTACAGAATGATTTTCTTCTCAGCTCACCTCTGGCTCTGCCCCAGCTCCTGCGCTTTCCCCCGAGCCACGGGGCGGAGCGACCCGCGCGGCGTCGGAAACCAGCGCGCGCAAGTCGTGACGGCACGAGCCTGCTGCCTTAGCCAGTACGGTGGGGGCGCTGGCTCGGGAACATGCCCGGGAGGCCCCAGGCCCTGGAGAGGATCCCCTCCCCTGTGTGAGGGCGGTGGCGGCACCCATGGCCAACCCACACTTGGAATGCCGCTGGCTTCCAGACCCTGGACTCCCTATCCAAGGGCTCCTTCTCCAATGCCCCCACCAGCGGCGGGCCAGCGCCCCTTGAGGGCCACGGCTTCTCTCCGAGGAGGAGGCCCGCGGCCGCGGCCTGGTGGCGCGTGAGGCGCAGTGTGAGACCTGTTTGGGCTCCCGCGCGCTGCATGACGTATTCAACACGGGTAAAAAAAGGCCCCCGAAGAGAGGAACAAACCTGCCCCCACCGTGCTTGCCCGTGTCCGTCACCACCGAGCGCTCGCGGGCCTTGCTCGGGCTGGGGCCCTGGGCACTGCTGGCCTCCGGGCCAGGCCCGGCGGCCCGCTGGAGGCCGCCCCTGCCTCGGGGCCTGGCGCCGGCCCGCGGGAGGGAGCCGGCGGCGGCGGGTGCCTTCCTTGCCCCGGGTCGAGGGCTTCGAAGAGGTGGGTGAGGACTGTGTGTGTGTGTGGATGCCATGGCCGGGGCCATGGAATGCCCCCGATGTCACGGCCCCCTCTTCTTTTTATCTCTTCTTCTTCTTCTTCTTGTCCCCCCCCTCCCCCGTTGGCCGCGCGGGTCGTGACGCGCACCCCGCTCTCTTCCTGACCCTCCTCCTCGGCGCACCTGAGGGTGCTTTTCTTGTTCCCCTGCAGGAGGTCGACCCTGGTGCGGCTTTGAGGACGGGCTTCCTCGTCACAGCCACCGATCCAATCCGATCCCCCCCCCCCTGCCGTGAAACAGGGCCATTGTGCGCTTCTTGCTGCCCAGAAGAGGAGGAGGGGAGAAGGAGGTCGAGGGGGTGGAGGAGGGAGAGGGGGCACGAGGAGCCTCCTCCTCCTTCCTGGAGGAAGGATTGGAGGGATTGGGGAGGGGGGGAGAGACTGGAAAGGCGGGTGTGACGTTAGAACGCCGCTCAGGACAGAGGACTGGCGGGATTGGCGTCCCGCGGTCGCGAAGCGATAGGCTGGCGCCCGACTGGGGTTAGCGACACCCACGTGATGGTGACATTGAGCCCCCTCCCTCCTCTTCCTCCGTCCTCCTCGCTCTCCTTCTCCCCCGTCCTCCCTTTCCTCCTCATTCTCCCCTCCCTCTTTCCCCTCCCACCTCCCTCTCCCTTTTCCTCCCCCTCCCATCCCTCTCCTCTTCCTGATGCAGCTGCTGCTGCTGCTGCTGCTGCTGCTGCTGCTGCTCCTCCTCTTCCTGCTGCTGCTGCTCCTCCTCCTCCTCCTCCTCCTCCTCCCTTCCTCCCTCCTCCTCCTCCTCCTCCTCCTCCTCCTCCTCCTCCTCCTCCCCCCTCCTCCTCCTCCCCCGTCCTCCTCCTCCGCCTCCTCCCTCCTCCTCCTCCTCTCCTTCCTCCTCCCCCCCCCTTTCCTTTCGTTCTCTTCTTCCATTTCCTCCTCCTCCTCCTCCTCCTCCTCCCTCCTCCTCCCCTCTTCTCCGTGCCACATACACTTTGGCTCAAGGGGCCTTCTCCTAACTGTCCAGCCTCGGCCTACGAGCGATTGCTCTTCCTTCGGCAGCTCTCCCGCAAGGCGGGACATTTTGCGCCTGTGGTTCCCGCCCCGCGTCGCAGAGTGTCCACAAGACGTGCCACGGCAAGGACCCGCGTGTGCGTGTGCCGAAGTGCCTTTGGTCGGCCTTTGGCCTCCCACCGTCGGTGCCAGAAGTGGGTCCGTGACACTTCTGCTCGCGGCGCTGCTCGCGGCCTGTTTCGGCCTGGCGCGGACGGGCAGGCTGGCGTGATGGATTCAGTTTCCACCACCACTACCATATGTAGGACGGGGGAGAAGGGATGATGAGGAGGTCTTCCTCCTCCTCCTCCTCCTCCTCCTCCTCCTCCTCGTCCTTCCTCTCCTACCTATGGTAGTGGTGGTGGAAAACAGGCCCATCATGGCGCTTGGGGCGCGCGCAACTTGGTCGGGCCCAGACGCAGCCTGGCAGTTCGGAGGTTGCCGAAGGTGTTCCTGGCCCAATGTCGGGGGCGGCAAAGAGGGGGGTGATGACTAGGGGGGGTGGATATCATTGCGTGGGCCCTGATACTTCCCCAGATTTCATGGCGCCTCTTCTTATTTCATTCCCCAATGAGAGCTTGCCTCTGTAGGGGTCCTAGCGGATTCATATAGTTAAGTTAGGCTTGTCGCCGATTTTCGCGGCACGCCCGGGTGCCCGGGGGTGCCTGGGTGCCCGGTTTGTCGCCGATTTTCGCGGCACGCCCTGGTGCCCGGGTGCCCGGGTGCCCGGGTGCCCGGGGGTGCCCGGGTGCCCGGGGGTGCCCGGGGGTGCCCGGGTGCCCGGGTGCCCGCGGGTGCCCGGGCGTGCCTGGGGGTGCCCTGCATGGTGCCCAGGTGCCCTGGTGCCCGGGTGCCCGGGCGTGCCCGGGGGTGCCTGGGGTGCCCGGGGGTGCCCTATAGCCCAATAGCCCTATAGCCCAATAGCCCTATAGCCCTATAGCCCTATAGCCCTACAACTCTATAGACCTATAGCTCTATAGCCAATAGCTCAATATTCCCCAATCAGAGCTTGCCTCTGTAGGGGTCCTAGCGGATTCATATGGTTAGGTTAGGTTTGCCGCCGATTTTCGCGGCACGCCCAGGTGCCCGGGTGCCTGGGGGTGGCCGGGTGCCCGGGGGTGCCCGGGGGTGCCCGGGTGCCCGGGTGCCCGCGGGTGCCCGGGCGTGCCTGGGGGTGCCCTGGTGCCCGGGTGCCCTGGTGCCGGGGTGCCCTGGCGTGCCCGGGGGTGCCTGCAGGGGTGCCCGGGAGTGCCCTATAGCCCTATAGCCCAATAGCCCCTATAGCCCTATAGCCCTACAACTCTATAGACCTATAGCTCTATAGCCCTATAGCTCAATATTCATAAGGTTAGGTTAGGTTTGCCGCCGATTTTCGCGGCACGCCCGGGTGCCCGGGTGCCCGGGGGTGCCCAGGTGCCCGGGTGCCCGGGTGCCTGGGTGCCTGGGTATGCCCGGGTACCCGCGGGTGCCCGGGCGTGCCTGGGGGTGCCCTGGTGCCCGGGTGTCCTGGTGCCCGGGTGCCCGGGCGTGCCCGGGGGTTGCCTGGGGGTGCCCGGGGGTGCCCTATAGCCATATAGCCCTATAGCCCTATAGCCCTATCGCCCTACAACTCTATAGAGCTATAGCTCTATAGCCCTATAGCTCAAGATTCGTGCCCTATAGCCCAATAGCCCAATAGTCCTATAGCCCTACAACTCTATAGACCTATAGCTCTATAGCCCTATAGCTCAATGTTCATAAGGTTAGGTTAGGTTTGCCGCCGATTTTCGCTGCACGCACGCCCGGGTGCCCGGGTGCCCAGGGGTGCCCGCGGGTGCCCGGGTGCCTGGGTGCCCGGGTGCCCGGACCGGGGGGGCCTGGGGTGCCCGGGGGTGCCCTATAGCCCAATAGCCCTATAGCTCTACAACTCTATAGCCCTATAGCTCTATAGCCCTATAGCTCAATAGCCCTATAGCCCTATAGCCCCCTAGCCCTATAGCCCTGATTGGGTTTTTCTCTGGTATCATTACGTCCCTGCCCCCCCCCTTTGGCCGTGCACGTGCCGCCAGCCATGATTTGCACCCCCCCTCTTGGACGCCCCCCTGTTGGCCGCCCCCGGGAATGGCCCTGACAATGGCGTCCCCATCTTTTCGCGACAAGCTGGGGCCCCTCGGGCCTTCTGGGCCTCGTGATGGGTGCTCTGGAGGCCGTGTGGGGCCTCGGGGACATTCTGGGGACACCCTGGGCCAGGGGCACCGACGGCAGCGCCCTAGCTGTGCCAAGCCATCTTCGGCCTTGAGCGGACGGGCAGGCCGACGTGGTACGCGTGGAGTTTGGGCAGGCCTGGCGGGCGTCCTTCGCGGGGCGCGCGGGCGCCGCTTTTCTGCCGCGCGCCGTTTCTTGGGGCTTCCCGCCCCGCGACGTTCACGGCCGCGAGTGTGCCAGGCGCCTGGTGTGGCGGCGCTGGCTCGCAGCGCCGCAGACGAGTGTGCGCTCTGTGCCCACCTTTGCGCGCTTGATCCACCCTGTTCCTTCCCTGGGCCCCTGTCGGGGAGGGGCATTTGCGCCTGTTCTGGGATTTGCACGTGTGTGTTGGGGATGCTTCGGGCGGCCAGGGCGCGCGGTTCCATGCGTCGCGAAAGCGGTTTGGGATCGCTTCTTTTCGATTCCGATTTCGTCCAGGCATTAAGGTTTCGTGGCCCAATGCTGTTGTTTCGGCGGACCTTACCGTCGGCCAGGATTTTTGCATTTGTGATGGCCCAGTGGTTAATTGGCGCACTGGTGGAGTTTTACTCCGACTGCAAGCCCTTGGGGGACATGTGGGGCATGGGCGGAAGAACTTGCCGGCCACACCCAAGTTTTCCTGTTGCAGGAGGTGTGGGAGACGGTTCAGGATGGATACAGGGGCCGTTCTGGCCGTGATGAAGGGGGCATAGCCTCATCCCTCGAAACCTGTTTGTCCCAACAGGCGGCCTTTGCCAGGAGCGACTCGGAGTGCTGTCGCGTCGGCGGTCTTTTTTTTGCGTTCGCCTTTCCCTGGGATCTGGTGAAGGAGCCACTCGGGAATGCCCAGCCGCTGGTTCCCAGTCGCGCGACCAGCCCTCCATGGAGGGTGGCCTCGGGCCGCGTTGGATGCACTCGAGGTTCGGCCCATCGATCGCTCGGCTCCTGGGGGTCGGCTCGTGCTTTCGATCGGCCGAGTCTCGGCCGCCACTGAAGCGGCCCAGGACGCTGCTGGGCAGCGCGCGCGCACCGTGCAGGACCGCTCTGGTTGAGAATAGTTGATGCCGCCCTGTAGCTTGCCCGGCTCTTGTGCTTCCTCGCCCTCTCAGGCCGAGGGGCGCGTGCGAATCGGCAGCCTTGCCGCCTCTTCCTGCGCTCTGGACGCCAAGGATTGGGAGCGGGTTGCGAGTCTGGGCGGGGGTGGGCGTGCAGAGATCTCCTCGACGCCCAGTCCGACGTGGTCTTTTGGCAGGTCCTTGGCGGCCTCTCCGAGACCAGAAGCACGGAATCGGTTCTGCGACGGACCGATCGGCAGCAGGAGTTTTTTGATTGTGCCGCGTCCACACTCGTTGGGTCCATGTCCAGTCTAAGGCACTTCCCCCCCCCTCTCCTCCCCCATTCGTCCTCCTTGCAGGCTCCTCCTGCTCCTCTCCCTCTCCCTCGAGTGGCGTTCGAATCCACCATCCTTCTGTTCATGGCTGCCCCGACTCATGGCCGCGGCGCTGGGATAACCATCGCGACGGTCCCGTCCGCTTACTCAGCTCTGCTCTACTGAGTTCGACTGCCGCACAGGACTGTGAGCCCGAGGCTTTAGCAGCGCGCATCATAATAGGATGTGGGGTGGAGGAACTGGAAGAACATGATGATGGTGATGGTGATGGTGATGGTGATGGTGATGGTGATGGTGATGATGATGATGATGATGATGATGATGATGATGATGATGATGATGATGCTGATGAGGATGATGATGATGATGATGCTGATGCTGATGCTGATGCTGCTGCTGATGATGATGCTGATGATGACGATGACGATGATGATGAAAACGAGGAGGAGTAGGAGGAGGAGGAGGAGGAGGAGGAGGAGGAGGAGGAGGAGGGAGGGAGGGGAGGAACAGCCGGATGAGGAAGAGGATGATAATGATGATGAGGTTGAGGTAGAGGGGGTAGAGGAGATATATGATGAGGAAGAGGAAGATACGGCGTATGATAATGAGTATGGTTTGGAGGAGCAGGAGGAGGATGATGAGGAGGAGGAGGTATATCAGGAGGGAGGTGGAGGAAGGGGAGGACAAGGGGATGAGGTGGAGCACGAGAGAGTGGAGGTGGTGTGGTTTCCGTGGTGGAGGGGTGCGCAGCGCTTCAAATGCACAATGCTGCCATTACTGGAAGGCTTGGAACCTGCAGTTAGCTCAGGTCCAGTGAAGCCCGCCAGGCATCTCATCAGAGATTGGCGGGCGCTGGACACATTTTTCACGAAGCGTTGACTGGCGTCAGGAAGTCCAGTGCCTCAAGTGCAGAAGCGTAGATCGCGACTGTCAGAGGATACTTGGTTCAGTTCTGAGCTGGTCCATCGCAGTGACCTCTGCCAAGAGCATGGGCTAGATCTTTGGAATTTTGTATATTATTATAGTCGTAACTGGAGCGTGTACGTTGCAAGGTCTACCCGCGCACGGCGGAAACAACTCAGGGATGCTATCATTATCACCGTCAGCACCTTGTGATTACTTTGTTTATTGTCACGTGAAGGCTGAAGGGTTTTCTGCTTTAGGGAGCTATCCCCAAACTCTGCCCTACATCTCCGCTTCGCGCCACTCATGACCCGCGCGTTTTTCTTCGGAGTGCCTCCAACCATGAGGCTGGATACTTGTTATAGCTCTGTATTCTGAGTCGGCCACGAGGCAATGTACACCAGTTGCGATTCAGTCATCGGTTTCCTCGCAGTCTCCCATGTTTGGGGATGTCGGCATCATGGAGGCACTCCCTCTCCCAACCTTCTCGGCCGCAGGCCGCCCTTCCAGGCGGTGTGGCCCGCCAGCAGCTTGCATGCCATCAGCGGGGGTCTTTGGATATGCGAGCTCGCAGCCGCGCATCTCGACAGGCAAGGGAGCTCCAGGCGAGCCGGAGTTCCGCTATCATCCCATGATCCCATGGAGTGTCCCAACCCTGTGCGTATGTGTGCAGCGCAGGGACTTGCCCTCCCAGTGGGAGGCGCGAAACGGGCTCCTTCGCTCGCATGCGAGCGCGCCATGTGGAGCACGGTCCTCCGAGGCGTGGACTTATCCATGATCACCGCCCGGGGGATCGATCTTCGCGGGCCTCCACAGGCGGTGGATATGGATATACTCGGGCCCCCTGGGGCCGACATATATCCATTTCTACCGCCCGCTGGGTAGGACGTTGGCTCTCAGGCGGTGGATACGGATAGCTCCCCACCTCGCGGGATGGGTGTGCCGAAAAGTGCGCGGCAACGCCATGCAAACCCTCCGAACCCTCCCGCTGGGGCAAAAGGGGCAAGATCCTTGCGAGAAGCTTCTCGGCATGGGCGGGGCCACGCCGTGCAGGTCCGCCCACTTCCTCTGCAGGTGGAGCTCCATGTGCGGCACGATCTGTGTGAGTGTTGTTCTGACGTTCGCAGGGCAACGTCTCACAAACCCTCCCAAAGGGCAGTGGGTGGGGCTCCCTATGGGGCACGGTCCGCGTGATGCACGATCCGCGTGAGGTGTGCTTTGAAGTGCACGGGGCAACGCTCGTCGGGGGCGGAAAAGAGGGGGGTGATGACTAGGGGGGGTGGATATCATGCCGTGGGCCATGATATTTCCCCAGATTTCATGGCGCCCCTTCTTATTTTATTACGTCCCTGGCCCCCCCCGCTGGGCCGCGCACATGCCGCCAGTCATGATTTGCACCCCCCCCTTTTGGACACCCCCCTCTTGGCCGCTCCCGAGCTCGGCGAACTCTCCCAATGGGCCAAATGCGTAGCTCCCGCAGAAGGACAAAAACGTGGACCCCCTGATGACCCCCCCAACCCTTGCCTCATATTCAAAGTTGGACCTAGCCATGAGGCAGCGCATGTGTGAGGAGAGCAAAACAGGTGTTGCCCCAGGGATCCGCGCCGGTTCATCGGCGACTTCGGATTTGGTGGGAGGCCGGAAGGCCAATGTCGTTTTTTTTCTTGGTGGGGCTTGACGGTCGCTTTGGGACACGGCCCGCGTGAGGGGTGTGCCGAATTGGGCGGGACAACGCCATGCGAACCCGCCCACTGGGTCCATGGCAGGAGCTCCATATGATGCACGATCCGCGTGATGGGGTGTGCAGAGCTGCGCAGGAGCAACGCTGCGCAGACCCTCCTACTGGGGCCTTAGGTGGAGCTGCCTATGGGACACGGTCCGCGTTCGGGGGTGCGCCGAAATGGGCGGGGCAACGCCATGCGAATTTTCCTAGTGTGGCCAACTGTGGAGCTCCCTGTGGGCTGCGATCCGCGTGAGGGGTGTGCCGACCTTGGCAGTACAGCGTCATGCGAACCCGCCCGCTTCGGCCGTAGGCGAAGCTCCGTAGAGGCGGCGCACTCCGCCTGAGAGGGGGTGCCAGAAAACACGCAGGTCAACGCCTTGCGAACCCTCCAAATTGGGCGAAAGCTGGGTCTCCCTACCCTATAGCCCTACAACTCTATAGCCCCACATCGACCCTCGTTGCGGGCAGCCACCGCGCGCCGAAGGCGCTCCCACCCCCGTCGCGGCGCGACGGCGAGGCGAGGTTGACCCCCGGCGGGGGGGTCCCCCCCCGACGCTTACTGAGAAACCCAGAGTGTGGGGCACGATCCATCTGGGGGGTGTCTTGGAATGCGTGAGGCAACGCCTCGCGAGCCGTCCCAGCGGGGCCAAAGGAAGGAGCTCCATGTGCGGCCGGGTCCGATTGGGGCGTGCGCCAGCACGGTCGGGGCAGTGCCATGCAAACGCGCCCACTGGGGCCGTAGATGAAGCTGCCTTTTGGGCGCGCCGAAATTTTGGGAACGAAGAATGACGTAAACATAAAAGCTGTGAGGTCCGCGCAGACCTCCGAGTTTTTCGATTTATGTCAGTCTTCGTTCCTTTAGAAATGAGCGGTGGACGCAGCAACGACACAGATGCAGAGTGCCAGCATGCAGCGTAACAGCAACAACGGCAGGAGGGGGAGCATGGACATGGGTGCAGGATGAGGAGGGGAAGGAGGAGGAGGAGGAGGACCAGGGTAAACCCAAGACTTATCAACGATGTCACTCTTCACAAGTATTCATTTCCTCTGAGTGAAGTGCCCTGTTGGGGGGCAACCGTGTGGAAATCCTGAAGCGTGCCAAAACACCTTTCTCAGGACTTCAACGCCACGGGTCAACCTGACCGTTGCGTCTTGATGGTTCAGAATCGTGCCAGAACACCGTTTCTGGGACTTCACACCGCGGATCAACGTAATTGTTGCGCCCTGACAATCGTGAACCTTTCCAACACATCATTTCTGGTACGTTAGCCATGCGAGTCGATGATACTTTTGTAATTTCTAAAACGAATGTGCGCGGCGCTAAGGCGAGAGCCAAATTCTGAAGAGGAGCGACCCTCAATCCGTGAAGCTTTTGCCAATTGTTAAAACTGATGCTCGCGGCGCTAAGTCGAGAGCCACCTCTTGGAAAGCAGCCGCCTGCATCCGTGATGCTCTTGCATTGTTCAAACGAGTTTACGCGGCGCTAAGACGATATCTAACTTTAGACAATGAACCGCCCTGAATCAGTGAAACTCATGGATTTTTAAACGAATGCACGCGGCGCTAAGGCGAGAGCCATATTTTGAGAGCTGCCTGTCGTCAATCAGGGAACCCTTGCAAGTGTTTGAAACGAATGTGCGCGGCGCTCAGGCGAAAGCCATATTTTAGAAGCGACCCGCCTTCTATCTTTGAAACTGTTGCTAGGTTTCAAGCTTGAGGCTCATACATGATAAGGAAGCTTCAGGCAGGATTCCCCGTCTCGCCCTTCCGAATGACCGCTGGATGCGACAGGGAGGAGTCATCTATAAGGAAAGGAGTGGAGGAGGAGGAGGAGGAGGACCAGTGTAAACCCAAGACTATCCAACGATGTTGGGATACGCCCTCCCTCTAAGCTCCCTCCTCACAGGCACCTACAAGTATTCGTTCCCACTGAGGGAACTGTCCCGTTGGGAGACCGTCATGTGACAATCCTGAAGCATGCCAGAACTTCACGCTCAGGACTTCAACACCGCGAGTCAACGTGACTTTTGCGTCTTGACTATCCTGCACCATCGCTAATCCACGCAACTGCTGCGGCCTGACAACCCTGAATCGTTCCACAAGATCATTTCTGAGGAGAATCCGTGAAACTCTTGCACATTGTTCAAACGAATGTGCGCGGCGCATAGGCGAGAGCATCATTTTGAATAAGAGCCGCCGTCAATCAGCGAAACTCTTGTAGTTGTTTTTTCAACAGACTGTGCGCGGCGCCAAGGCGATAACCATACTTTGAAAACGAGCCGCCCGCAATTTGTGAAACTGTTGCAACTATCAAAAACGAATGTGCGCGGCGCTACTGCAAGAGCCACGTTTTGAAAACCACCCGCCTTCCATCTGTGAAGCTGTTGCAAGGTTCATGGCGCCAACATCGCAGAGCGGATTTCCTTCGGAAAACTATAGGGTGGATCTGGAGTGTCCTGGAGAATTTCGCTTCGGATTTCGAGGTGAATTTAGTGCGGATTTTTTTGGTCAGGAATGAAGACTAAAACAAATCCACGCGAAATTCACTTCGTTTTTCGCTCGCCGCTTCTGGCAAAAATTCACGCAGACATCCACGCAGAAATCCGCTGCAGCACGTCTGCAAGGCCGGTGCAATGTCAAGTTTCTAAGCTTCAGATTCGCTTCAGGTTCATAAGTTGTAAGGAAGCTTCAAGCGAACTCCCGGCCCGCTCTTCCGACTGGCCTCGGGTTGCGACAGAGAGGAATTGTTCATAAGGCAAAGGACTGGAGGAGGAGGGGGAGGAGGAGGGGAGGGGGAGGGGGAGGGGGAGGGGAAGGAGGAGGAGGAGGAGGAGGAGGAGGAGGAGGAGGAGGATAAGGAGGAGGAGGAGGAGGAGGAGTAGGAGGAGGAGGAGGATCAGTGTAAATCCAAGACCTGTCAACGATATGGCAATCAACCTTTCTTCTAAGCTCCATCGTCACAGTCTCCTACATGTATTCGTTTTCTCTGAGAGATGCCTCGTTGGAAGACAACCGTTTGAAAATCCGCTTGGGACTTCAACGCCGCGAATCACCGTTACTGATGCGTCGCGACGACCCAGAATCGCACCAGGACGCCATTCTTGGGACTACAGCACCACGAATGAACGTGATTCTTGCGCCCTGACATTCCGACATGTGCCACAGCATTTTTGAATGTGCGCAGCGCTAAGTCGAGAGCCACATTTTGAAAACGAGCCGCCCTCCACCTGTCTAAACTTTGAAGACGAATTTGCGCGGCGCTACGGCGAGAGCCACATTTTGAAAACGAGCCGCCCTCCATCTGTGAAATTCTGGTACAGCTTTAAGACGAATGTTCGCGACAGATAGGCGAGAGCCACAGTTTGAAAATGGGTCGCCCGCCATCAGTGACACTCTTGCGCACTTTTAAGACGAATATGCGCGGCGCTCGGGAGGGAGCCACATTCTGAAAAGGAACTGCCTTGCACCAGTGAGACCCTTGCAAACTTGTAAGTCGAATGTGCGCGGCGGTACGGCGAGAAACACATTTTGGAATGGAGCCGCCCTTACTCCATGAAACTTTTGCAAATGCCAAGCTCCAGACTCATAATTTGTGGACTTCTCAGGCGAAACGCCTGGCCCGCCCTTTCGATCGGTAGGGAGGAATTATCTAGAAGGAAAAGACAAGGCGGGAGGAAGGAGGAGGGAGGAGGGACAAGGGAGGAGGGAGGAGAAGAAGGAGGAGGAGGAGGAGGAAGAGGAGGAGGAGGGGGGGACGGAAGAGGGGGAGGGGGAGGGAGGAGGAGGGCAGATGGAAGAGGGAATAGGGAGGAGGAGCAGGAGGAGGAGGAAGAGGAGGAGCAGGAGGAGGCGGAGGAGCAGGAGCAGGAGGAGCAGGAGGAGGAGGAGGAGGAGGAGGAGGAGGAGGAGGAGGAGGAGGAGGAGGAGGAGGAGGTGAGGAGATACGCGGCGGAGCGGAGAGTAAACGCAGCCAACCAACACATGCGGATTGTGAAACACTGGAGCGTGTGCGAAAGCTCACGGGACACGCCACCGTCGCCGTCGCCTTGCCTGACATGCGGCCCCCGGCCTCTGGATGGTGGCCCGTGGACACGGCCGCTGGAGTGCCGCGACGGCGATGGCATTGGTCCCGCCGTCCTCCGGACGCATCTTGGCCCTCTGCTCTGCCGTGGGTCAGAGTCTGCCCGGCCCGGGCGCTGCGGGACTTTCGCTCTGCAGCCCCCGTTTCAGAGGCCAGTCCTCCACCTCAAGCAGCGTATCTGGCTCAGGCCGCACTGGCTCGCGGCTCTAGCTCTATGCTGGGCACGTACGTCCCTCTGCAGGAGGAATATTCAAACATAGCCAAAAATAGCCTAATTAAGAAAAAGCAAGACGTTTTGTTGTTGTTGTTGTTGTTGTTGTTGTTGTTGTTGTTGTTGTTGTTGTTGTTGTTGTTGTTGTTGTTGTTGTTGTTGTTGTTGTTGTTGTTGTTGTTGTTGTTGTTGTTGTCGTTGTTGTTGTTGGTGGTGGTGGTGGTGGTGGTTATTGTTGTTGTTGTTGTTGTTGTTGTTGTTGTTGTTGCTGTTGACTGTTTTTGCTTATTCTCATTTGTTTTTTTGTTTTTTGGACTATTTTTATTTTTTCGTCCAACATCCCCCTGTAGGGGGACACGCCCGACCTAACTCCAGTGGCGTGCGCGCGCGTGTCGCGCGTCGAAGAAGAACAAATAGCGTAAACAGAACTTTTTGGCTTCAGCGCGGATTTTTTGGCATCGGCGCTGGCCCCCCCTGGCGGCGACTCTGGCGCCGCTCCTGGCGCGCTCCGCGCGCTTGGGAGGGGGATCCGGCGCAGTCCCAAGAAATCTGCGCGGAGCTCCGAAAGTTTGTACAGTTTGTTCTTCCTCTCAAGTCGAAGTCGATAGTAAGGATGGGTAACCTTACTTTTGCATCCTTGCCTCCTCGGTCCATCTTTACACCCTTTCGAGTGCCAGCCCCGCTCAAAAAGCTTCGACATGGGCGTCCAAGGCGCTTGCCTTTTTCTTGCGTGTCCTTACTATCAGTCGGTGGCGAGCGAGGGGGGGAAGTGAGAAGGAGAAGGCCTTCTCAGAAGGCAGCGGGGGTCGGGTCTTCTCGGAAGGCCTCCAGCCTTCAGAGAGGTTTTGCTGTGTCCTCGGGGAAGGTTCAGACAACTCCTCAGAAGGCCGGGGGACTTCCGGGCATTCTGCGAAGGCCCGCCCCTTCCCACTTCTCCCCGGGCTCGCCGCCGAATCAGGTTCGACTGCAGCGCGGTCCCCTCCCCCCGCCGAGCCATGAGCGCGGCTGCCGAGGTGCCTTGCGGGCCGCCCCGTGGCGGGCGCTCCACACGGCGTCGCCGGCCGCGCCGCGCCTGGGCCGCCCTCGCCCTCGCCCTGGTCTTGGCCGGGGGCTTCGCTGGAAGTCGGGGGGGGGGGGACGAGGAGGTGGAGGATGAGGCGGAGGCGGAGACGGAGGCGGAGGAGGAGGAGGAGGGTGGAGGAGGAGGGTGGAGGAGGAGGAGGAGGAGGAGGAGGAGGAGGAGGAGGAGGAGGAGGAGGAGGCAGAGGCAGAGGCAGAGGCGGAGGCGGAGGGGGGACAACAGCCACGCCGCCGCTGGTGCCCTTTCCCCGCTTTCGCCCTGCGGGGCCTCCCGTCGGCAGGGCGTCAGCCCTGCCTGCACCTGTGCCGATGTCGGCCAGGCCTGTCTGGGGCCCAGGATCGGTGCATATCATATGCGCCTTCCTCGCGGATGCAGGAGGGCGTACAGTCAACCCGCAGGGTAAGGATGGGCAGCCTGGCCAAGGGTGCCCTCGCATCCTCGCCTCCCTGGTCCCCTCTTCGCCACTCTCGTTGGCCGCGCCCCGCTCGAGAGGCTTCGCGCGTCCTGGCTATACGGGTTGGCTGTGTGCACCGATCCTGGGCCCAGGGCGGGCTCGGCAGGGGGCCGGTGCAGGTGCCTTGCTGGAGCCCTACGAGGCCGGGGCGCCCCCGGGAGACTCTGTGATGGTGAGGAGTGCTTTCTTGTGTGTGTGTGTGCGGGTGATCCCCATCTGTCCGATTACACTCCGCCGGTAGGAGGACATGCCCGACCTAAAGGTATCTTCCAGCCTCCCCCAGGAGGCTTCACGGGGCCGGCGGCAGGCCGACAGGCCGTGCAGTGGCAGTGGTGCGTCCTTGCCGTGCTGGCGCTGACGGTGCTCCTGGCCTCGGGGTTGGCAGCGGCCTGTGTGGTCGGCCGGGAGGGCGCCGGCTCTTCGTCGAGGGAGAGAGAGGGCAGCACGAGCAGAAATTATCGGAGCTCCGCGCGGATTCCTCGGATCGGCGCTGGTCAGCCACGCGCAGAGGGGGGAGGGGGGAGGGGGGAGGCTTCTTCTTCGCATCGGCGCGCGGCCTTCTCTATAGATGTGAGGCCGGCACCTTCTAAGAAGCAGCCTCCTTCTGAGAAGCCCCCCCCCCTCCCTCCACCCCCTTGTGCGCGCCGCCAATCTGGGCCCCCCTGGCGGCGCCTCTGGCGCCGCTCCTGGCGCGCTGCGCGCGCCAGGAGCGGGGGGTCCAGCGCAGTTGCAGGAATTCCTCGCGGACCTCTGAGCGTTTCTGTTTATGTGTTTTTTCTTCCTCCACTTCAACTCGTCAGTTCCTGATATCCAGTGGAGGGGCGTGTGTGGAGCCATCGAGCCCGTCGAGCTCTGATGGCTCGAAGCTCCCAGCCGAGGCTTCCGAGGTGAGGAGGCGCAGCGTCGAGCTCGTTCGGAGGTCGCAGCTGCCCATCACTGCTGTAGAGACCTTGACCGCTCAATCGTGGGAGAAGTTTAGTACTTCTGAAACTTGCTCCAACTTCGCGCGGTTGAAGCATGGCGACTCCGAGATGCTGCGGCAAGCATCTCACGCGCTTGCCATGACAATACGGGCGCACCCTCTGGCAGGGCTTTGGCTGGCGGCAGCCCCCCAGGACGTGTGTGTCATCGCTCCAGCCTACCGGGTGGTGCCTACAGCGGGATCTTTCATGGCCATCGAGATCCACAAGGAGCTCTGCGTGATGGGAGGCGGGAAGCCGGTGAATCTTTTTCAAATGAAGCGACGTAGTATCACAAACGGTGATTTCGCGACTATGGACATGAAGACTCGGAAGGCAGCTCTGGCCAACCAGTTTTATCGAAGACGCCTACGGCGAACCACCGCTGCCCCTGTCTTTCTGAAATGTGCCATGTGGTCGAACGCTGGGCCAAAGCTTAGCCAAACTATCGGACTAAGTGTCCCCCCAGCCGTTGTGGAAACCCTTGGGAGAACAGTTGGGGAAGGAAGAAGCAGGAGGAGGAGGAGGAGGAGGAGGAAGAGGAGGAGCAGGAGGAGAGGTAAGAGACAAGAGGGAGGAGGTGGTGGAGGAGGAGGAGGAGGAGGGGGAGGAGGATGAGGAGGAGGAGGAGGAGGATGAGCAGGAGGAGGAGGAAGAGGAGGATTAGGACTCGGAGGAGGCCTCTTGGGGCCTTCTTGGGGCCTCCTGTGGGCTTCCTGGGATTGGAGTCTGTTGGGGGCCTGAAAGGGGTCTCTTGGGGGCCTCCTGGGGTCTCTAGGAGGCCGCTTGGGTTTCGGATGCCGTCTTGGGGGCCCCTGAGGGCCGTCATGGCTCTCTTTGGGCGCCTTAGGCCGTCTTGGAGGTCAGGGGCCGTCTTGGGATCGTCTTGGGTCTGTCTTGGGGGCCTTTTGGGCGATTTCGCGGCCCTCTTGGGTCGTCTTGTGGGATTCTGGGGCCGTCTTGGGGCCATCTCGGCGGCCTCTTGGGCTGTTCTCGGTTGTCGGAAGCCCGACAAGGCGATAACACGGAAATGACTTGCTGCGGCGTCTCTCTCCTTTTTCTTTGCCTTCTGGAGTCATTTTGGGCCGTCTTGTGACCTCGGGCTCTTTTGGGGCCATCTTGGCCGTCTTGGAGGCGTCTTGGGACCGTCACGGCGGCCATATTGGGCCATCCTGGCTACCCTGGAGGCGCTCTTGAAGCCATGATGTGGAACCTTGTGGACTGATTCAAACAGTCAGAGTCGGCGCGCCAGCAACCCCTCGTGCAAGCATCATGGGGTGGTGGATCGAATACGCCTACAGCGAATCACCGCCGCCCTCTGCCTCTTGGACACGCCCGTGCGGCCAAACGTTGGGCCGAGGTCTGGAGGAGGAGGAGGAGGAGGAGGAGGAGAAGGTCCGTTGCCATTTTGGTTCAAGGTGGGGACATATTTCATTTTTGAGCGGGCAGCTCTCTTCCGAGCTCACGCGCTGGCGGACACTTCAGCTTTTGTCTTCCTTGTGCTACCAGTCTACTGGTAACCAACGCAGCCCTGGGTGCTCTCACAGTTCTGGGGCGAGCGACAAAATGGGCAGATGCAGCAACACATCGACGAGCGGAGGTTGCACCTCCGAGCAAGCTCCCCCCGCAGCGCGGCGGGCTCGAGGCGTCGTGGGGCGGCAGCTGATGGCGACGAGCCCCTCCTCCCCTCCGACGAGACGGCAGGGCGAGGTTTGCACGTGGGTGCTTCTGCGCGTGTTTCGGCGGGCAGTGGCGGCGCAGGGTCTCTCCATCGTGCTCGCGGACACGGCAACGACAACGAGACGGCTGCCGTCAGAGCCCATGTTGACAAGACCCGTGTCGATGCCATGGCCGCCACCTCCTCTCTTCAGTCAAAAGTTGCCCCCCTGTCCAACACAGTCCACATTCACGCCCAGACTGGACAAGCAGGCCGAGCTGCGCATGCGGAACTCCGAGATGCAGCTCAATGACCACGACAATCACCTCCGCATGCTGGAGAACCGTATCACGAGGCTCACGGAGCAGATGCGCGTCGTCAAGACGGAGGAGCCGCCTAGTGAGGCTGCGCCCTCAGGATATGATAGTGTCACCGACCTGACTATGGTCGTTCTCAGCAAGGGGCGCGTTTCAGCAGATGAAGTTCGCTGGGTGGTCACCCCTTGGATTTAGGGCGTCAGCCTTGATGTCGAGGACTACGAGATCTCGTTGGCTGGTGCGGAACCTACGTCCAAGCGCCACACCATCCAGATCACTGGCGCCAGGGCTTGGGCCGATCGTGCCGCTCGCCAGGCGCTGGGTGATCTGCGCAACCGTGGCGGTGCGCGGTGCAAATTCGAGGCTGGCGCGCCGATGGGCAGCGCGGCGCAGCTTTTCATTTGTGCTTGCAGAAATTAGCTTCAGGTCCTCCGAGAGTTGGGCATCAAGCCGGTCCGTTGTGAGTTCGAGACCGTATTCCAAAAGGAACGCTTTTTCGTCGACAGGGGGCGCGGAATGATCGCTCGTAGATGAAGTAAGTTATTTCGCTGCACCCCGAGACAGGGTGGCCCTCCTGAGATCGAGTGGGGCGTCCACAATTTCACCCATCAGAACATCGATGCGGCCGCAGTCGGGGAATCAGGTTGAGGACAGTTTGGAGTGGTAAGCCATGGTTGGGTGCTTGCGTCGCCCGCGCCTTGCTCTCCTTCGCAAGCTGGAACGCTGGCGCTCTCTTTCATCATCGGTATCCCACCACATCAAGGAAGGTCAGCTATTTTCTCTCCCTCATGTGCTTTGAGTGCATATTCGCCGTGCAGGAGACCTATGGGTCCGAGGAGGGAGCGATGAAGGTGATTGATTTCTTGCGTAAGCCGTGCCTCTGCCTTGCCAGTGATGCATCGAACCATGCTGGTGGTGGTGTTCTCACGATGGTCTCTGGGCCGCGCAATTCTGGGATTGCCTTTGGCGCGGATTCGGATACCATGGTTCCTGGTCGTGCATTGTTTGTCATGGTTACCACGGATGGTGGCGCGTCTTGGATACCGCACTACAGCGTACCCATCGTTGGCCTTCTGGCCCACGAGAAACTATGCGTCACGCAGTGCATGGAGGAATAATTCTTGGAAGCGGAGGGGCCCGATAACTTCATGGGCATGCTTGTCGCGAGGGTGTGTCGCTGCCGCGCCGCCGTCCTCGATCGACCCCTCGCTCTTCAAAGGCTCAGTCTCTGGGTGCCAGACGTGGCGTGGACCCCGCGATGCAATTTGGCGCTCGTGCTGTTCCCTGGTGGATATCCAGCAGCGCGGCCCCGCTCATGTGCGCGTGCTTGCGGCGTCGGGATGCATCGCCGATCGTGCTCTCACGTTTCTTCCTGGTTGGGTTGTTCTGCAATTCGATGTCAGCGGGCGTGCCCAAGGCTTCGCCAACATTGCTATCCGACCGGAGCTGTCTAATCGCGCCGCCATCTGGATGGACTTCGAGATCGCCCCTCAAAAGACCCCGCGCTCCAGAGGCATCCAGAATGAACTCTTCACTATCGATTCTTATCGGGGCCCCACGGCTAACGGCCTCGCAGCTGGTGGCATCGAGGACCTCGTTGTGCAGATTTTCGGTCGTCCTGGATACGATGGCGTGATCGGCCGAGACGCCACAGGAAATTCTTTGGCGGAGGGCCCGACCATCTGCAGTCGTGCGTGCCGCAGTTGTGAATCTCGTCTTCTGTGGGGCTCCCTGCGGGGCCACGAAAAGTATGAGGGGTGCGAGGAAGTGAGCGGGAAGCTGCATCTGGCTGCACCCACCAGGGCGGTTGGTGGAGTTCGGGGCCGCGAAGTCTGAAGTCGTCGAACGTCCGCCTGTAGGGGGACATGCCCGACCTAATCTGAGGTGGACCTACCTCTCTCTATGGGGCCACGAAGCGTGGGAGGGCTTTTGTCGACAGGGACATGTGATGGGCGGGGAACCGCTTGTGGCCGCACTCATTGGGGCCATAAGTGGAGTTCTCTATAATGGAACCGCGAAGCGTGTGAGGGGTTTGCGGGCATTTGCATGCGGTGGGCGGCGAGCCGCATGTGGCCGCACCCATTTGGGTCTTAGGTGGAGCTCCCGAGGTGGCAACGAAGACGTGTGAGGGGTGCGCCGACAGGGTCATGTGGTGGGCGGGGAACCGCATGTGGCCGCGCAAATTTGGGCGTTGAGTCAAGTTCCTTGTGGGGCCATGAAGCGTGAGAGGGGTGTTCAAACATGGGGGCAGAGGCAGGGATGGGAGGAGCGGTAGGAGGAAGAATCGAGACACGGGGCGTTGTCTCTTCAAAACGGGGACCCAACATCACAGGATGATTGGGAACGCTTGAGTGGACCAAAGCAACTTAACATCTGGCACGTCCTTTAACTCTTTGGCAACATCGCAGGGGGCGGCAGCTCGAAGACGCCTACGGCGAATCACCACCGCCCCTGCCTTTGGAAACGTCGATGTGGCCGAACGTGGTGGCCAAAGCGTGGACCAGCTATCGGATTTTATGTTCCCCGAACCGTAGTGGAAACCCTTCGGGGGACAATGTGGGGAGGATGGGAGAGAGCATCAGTTGGAGGAGGAGAAAAAGGAGGAGGAGGAGAAGGAGGAGGAGGATGATTAGGAGGATCAGGAGGAGGAGGACGAGGAGGAGGAGGAGGAGGACCTGTGTAAATCCAAGGCTCATCAACGATGTTGGAATACACTCTTCTCCAAGCTCCCACTTCACAGGCCACTATAAGGGTTCCACTGGGGGGCATGTCCCGTTGGGAGACCACCGTCTGAAGAGCCGGAAGCAGGCCAAACCATTGTTCTCGGGACCCCAGCGCCACGATAATTAACCTGGTTGTTGTGTGTTGGCGATCCTGAATCGTACCAGGAAGCCATTCTTGGGGCTTCGGCACCGCGAATCAACGTAATTGTTGCGCCATGACAATCCTGAATCGTTCCCAACCGCAGTTTCTGGTACGCTGATCACGGGATTCCGTGAAACTTTTGCTGCTCCTGTTGAAGACGAATGCGCGCGGCGCTAAGTCGAGAGCCACATGCTGAAGACAAACTGCCTTCAAGCTGTTAAGACGAGCGTGCGCGGCGCTAATGCGATAGCCACTCTTTGAGAGCGGCCCACCTTCAATCCGTGAAGCTCTGGCAAGTTTTTAAGACGAGTGTGCGCAGCGCTGAGGCGAGACCAACATCTTGAGAACTGCCCGCGCTCAATCCGTGACGTTCTTGCACATTTTTAGGACGCATGTGCGCGGCGTTGAGGCGAGAGTGACATTTTGGAAACGACCAGTCCGCAGGGTGTGAAATGGTTGTTAACTCTGAAGCAAAATGGTCATAACTGATACAGAAGTCTCAGGCGAAACGCCGGGCCCGCCCTTCCGACTGGCGTCGAGGTGCGACATGGAGGAGTTATCTATATGGAAAAATGATGGATAGGGAGGAGGTGGAGGAGGATGAGGATGACGAGGAGGAGGCGGAGGAGGAGGAGGAGGAGGAGGAGGAGGAGGAAGAGGAGGAGGAGGAGGAGGAGGAGGAGGAGGAGGAGGAGGAGGAGGAGGATGAGGCCTCTCGGGAGCTTCTTGGGGCACTCTTGGGGCCTCCTGGGAGCTTGCTGGGGGCCTCTTGGAGGCCTTTTGGGGGCCTCCTTAGACCTCTAGGGGCCCTTGGGGGCTTCTTGGGAACCTCTTTGGCAGTCTGAAGGCATCACTGACGCCGTCGGAAGCCGTCTTGGGGGTCTCTCTGTGCCGTCTCGCTTCAAGGCTGTCTTGGAGGCCATTTTGGACGTCTTGGAGACTTCTTGGGCCGTCATGGGGCCCTCTTGGGGCAGTCTTGGGGGTCTCTTGGGCCGTTATGGTGCCTTCTGGAAAGCATCTTGGGGCGCCTTGGGGGCGACCTTGGGGGCCTCTTGGGTGATCTTGAGCCGTCGGAAGGCCGAGAAGAAGCAGATGTCTAACTCCGTCAATCAAACTCCTGTAGAAACAAAAACGTTAGATTTTTGCATGTTCGGGTCTTCCTGGGGGATCTCTCGGAGGGCTCTTGGGCCGTCTCGGAGTCTTGGGCCGTCTTGTGGCCATCTTGGGCCGTCTTGGGTGCATTTTGGGCCGTCTTGGGTGCATCTCGGGACCATCTTGGGCTTTCTTGGGGCCGTTTTGGCCGTCTTGGAGGGGTCTTGAGACTAGCTTGGAGGCCATTTGGGGTCATCTTGGTCATCTTGGGGTGACTGCTTGGGTATTTTCTGGTCTCTTCGGGTTGCTGGCAGGCTGGGTCTAAAAGCACGCCGTGCACCCTTGTGGCAAGCCGCAGGGGGCGGCGGATCTTCGGCCCATCCCGCCACCGTGCCTGCGTTGTGTGTCAGAGTTCTCTTGGATGCTTCTTGGAGTCTCTGGGGACGCCCCTTGGGGGCCCCTTGGGGCCTCTTGGGTGTCTCTTGGATGCCTCTCGGGGGCTTGTTTGGTGGCTCTTGGGCGCTTCTTGGGGGTCTCTTTGAAGCCTCTTGGGCGCCTCTTGGGCGCCTATGCGATACTCTTGCGGGCATCTTGGCGGCCTTGAGGGCCACCATGACACAAGAGAGCTCGTGGGGCCAAATCGAGTTCTTCCCTCCGGGGCCAGACACTTTGGAAAGCTATCGGGTATTCGATGAGTTTTGGCTTCGGATGCAGCCATGCGGAACAACCGAAGGTGCGGTCGCCCCTGGATTTCAGGGGCATTTGCCCCTTCAAATAGTACAGTGGAGACCCATGCCACGAAACACCCTGCTCGCCTCCAGGGTGCCCTGGGTTTCTTGGGTTTCGACGGTTTTGCTATGGAAAGCGTGACGTGCCCGCACCAAAAGTCAATGGCCGTCCTGGGGTCTCAGGGTTGGGTTTCTTGTTGAAGGTTTCTTGTGGTGGGGCCCTATTGTAATTTACAGTAGGCAATTCAGAGAACAAGAAGGTACCCGAGGACACTCCACTCAGTGTCTATGGCACGGTGGCGGATTTGGACGAGTCCGATGCGTCTGAGGTGGCGGGGAAGTATTGCTTGGTTATCGACGACGCGATCATGTATGGTACCCATGTCCAGGTTGCCATCCACACTCTCACAGGTTACGGTGTCGACAAGAGCGCCATACTTTCTTTTAGTTACATTGCTGCCACTCCTGATCTGCTCATCGGGAGGCCGACTGTAGAGCACGATCTCAACGTTGCGTTCACTCCTACGCTGGAGGCACTGCAAGGGATCTTCGGGCAGGCCCAACTCACCTTGACTTTGCGCTTAGTCAAGCTTCTCTTGAACTTGCCAGGTGAGACGCTGGCCGCGTTGGTTGACTGGATGGCCACTGAGCGGCCAGATGTCTTGAAGGTTGTCTGCAAGGCAATTGAGGATGAGGATTTGAAGGGTACCGAGCAACTGAACTCCCGAACGAGTTCCAGCCTGGCAAAGTCTTCGTCCACGCAGACGGTGATCGAGCCACGTCCTGGGCCACTGGCGCCGGCGGTGCTGGTGCGGCATGGTCAATCGGTGGCCAACGTCGCGAAGGAGTCCAACATCTACGAGTATTTGTATAGGAAATTCGCGGACCGTTCTCTGGTCGACGCTGGCCTCACCCCACAGGGCGAGGACGATGCGCGTCGAGTCGGTGCAGAGCTGTTCTGGGACGGCTGTGTTGCCCCATCCGACGTCGGCCTGGTGGTGTTGTCGCCCCTCTCGCGAGCCCTGCGGACGGCCTCCCTGGCGCTGGAGGCGGCCGGCGTGGCGCTGCCGGAGATGTGCCGCGTAGTGGCGCATCCGCTCGCCGCGGGGCGCTTCTTCTCGCCAGACATTGCCGAGAACCTGCCGGCAGCCGAGGCGCTCAGAGTCGCCGAGAGGGGTGGGGGGACTGGCCCATTCCTCCTCTTCTTCCTCCTCCTCCTCATCCTCCTCCTCGTCCTCCTCCTCCTCCTCCCTCCTCCTCCTCCTCCCCTCCTCCTCCTCCTCCTCCTCCTCCTCCTCCTCCTCCTCCTCCTCCTCCTCCTCCTCCTCCTCCTCTTCCTCCTCCTGGCTCAGGGGAGGGGAGGGGAGAAGCATCGACCCCCAATCGCCCATTCATCGCCAATCGGCGCCTGGGCCCTTTACATCCCGCCCAGGAGCGTGCGGTTTCATTATCGTCGGCCCGTCGCTGATCTGCCGGCGATGTGCCGCCGATTCCTGGTCATGCCCCCCTCCCCCTCCTTCAGTCCCTTTGACGACGACGACGACGACGACGACGACGATGACGTGACGACGACGACGATGACGACGACGACGACGACGACGACGACGACGACGACGACGACGACGACGACGACGACGACGACGACGACGACGACGACGACGACGACGACGACGACGACGACGACGACGACGACGACGACGACGACGACGACGACGACGACGACGACGACGACCCCACCAGAGGCGCTGCCGGGCAAGATCGCCGAGGTGCGGCGTCGAGCCCGGAGGGGAAGTGGGAAGGAGAAGGCCTCCTCAGAAGGCTCGGAGGCCCCCCCGGCCTTCCGAGAAGTGCTCTAAGCCTTGCCCTAAGACAGCTCGGCGCGGGGGCTTTCAGAAGTGCGGCCGCCTTCTGAGAGGGCCTCCTCCTTCCCATTTCCCCCACCTCGCTCGCTCCCGAGAGGTGGGGGGCCGGCTGGTGGACTTCGGCCCCTGCGCCGAGTGGGCCGGCGCGGGGTGCTCCGCGGCGGAGCCAGAGAAGCCCCGGCGGGCGACGGACGTCGAGGCCCGAGGAGGAGGAGGAGGAGGAGGAGGAGGAGGAGGAGGAGGAGGAGGAGGAGGAGGAGGAGGAGGAGCAGTGGTGGGTGTCGAGGGTGTAGCCGAACAGGTTGGCGGGGTGGTGGAGGAGGAGGAGGAGGAGGAGGAGGAGGAGGAGGAGGAGGAGGAGGAGGAGTCAGGAGGACAAGGCGGAGGAGGAGGGGGAGGAGGGGGAGAAAGAAAAGGTACCCATACATACTGCTACCCTTGCCTCGTTTGCCTTCTGTGGGGCCTTCCAGGAGGCGCCCGTCGCCACCGCTGGATTCGCCTCGAAATCCTGGTCAGAACGCAATCCGGGAGAGGGCCGGGGAGTAATTCGCGGCATCGGCACCTGTTTGTTTCCCCCGAATAGGCAGCTGCAAAGGGTGTGGTTTACGCCTTGGTGTGGTTTGCGATCTGCGCCGTTGGGCCTTGGGGGGCACCACGTTGCCCTCATCGGGCCTCCTCGGGGCGCGGCGGAGAACTCCGTCGAGGCCCTCGCCCGGCCCCCCCCCGCGGGGTGCGAACCGCACCCTTTGCAAGCCGCAACCCTCAGAGTCGGCCGACCGAAAGCGGCAGCAGCCCAGTCATGTTGAAACGATCAAGACTCGAAGAACAGAAACGGCATAAACATAAATTTTAAGCGCTCCGCGCGGATTTCTTGGATCCGCGCTGGGTCCCCCGGGCGGCGCCTCCGGCGCCGCCCCTGGCGCGTTCCGCGCGCCAGGGAGGGGGGGACTTGCGCAGATCCAAGAAATCCGCGCGGAGCGCCAAACGTTTATGTTTGTGCCGTTTTTTGTTTGTCTGCTTCTCGAAAGACGGAGGTTTGTCGCCGTTTTCTGCCTCTTCTGCGGGCCCTCCCCGTTCCCAGGGGCCGTCAAGAGACGGCTCGGGGCGAAGGGCCGGTCTTGCGGCTCTTGCGGGTGCCCCGCACTCGTGGAGTCAGTTCATCGGAGCTCTCGGAGCATAAGTTTTCGCAGGCCGCTGGATCCCCTGGCATTATGATATTCCAACCTACTACAGCCTTGACCACCAGAGAATTTCGAGCACCAAGAAAGTACTGAAACTGGAGGGCTCTCACGTGCCGGGCCCTGGGAGGCGATTGCTCGAAATCATTTCTGGGATGTGGTCCTTAAGTACGATGGGAGCAACAAAACCCTGGCACTCGGAGCGCGCGAAGGGCGGCGCCGGTGGGTGGGGCGAAGTCGAGCTGGGGCGGAGATAAGGGCGGGGCGAAGACCAGCAGCGGTTCTCGCCCGTCTTCTGTTAAGTCGGGCATGTCCTTCCACAAGAGGAATATTGAGAACAGTCGAAACATAGTCTGGGGATGATTGGTCGTTTTTTTTTGTTTTTTTTTTTTTTTTGTTTTGTTTAAAGGAGCTCATTTTTGAACATTTCTTTTGACTATTTTTGACGTTTCTTCCAAAGCCCGCCTGTAGGAGGATTTGCCCGACCTAAGTCTTGTGCAGGAGCTGCTGTCGGTGCGCCGCGCTCCCCTCTTCGTTTGGGGCGAAGGTCGCGGGCCCAGCTGTCAGCGGAGGAAAAGGTACCGATACCCATACCCTTTCCTCACTTTCCCCTTTTTGGGCCTCCTGGGAGGCCCTTGTCGCCACCGCTGTATTCGCCTCGAAATCCTGGTCAGAACGCACCCCTGGAGAGGTCCAGGGACCCTTAGCGGTATCGGTACTTTTGATTTCCCCAAGCTGTGGCCGCGGTCCGTGTCGGGAAGCGTTCGTCGTCGGGCATCGTTCCCGTCGTCTCCGTCCCCATCGCGGGCGTGCGCTCGCGGAGTACGTATGTTGGCGTCGCTGCTTGCTCCTCAGAGGTGGCGCGGGACGCGGCGGCACTGCGCGACTTCATCTCGTCCGCCACTCCGGCAGGCACCGTGGCCCTGGTCTTCTGCCACGGGGGCGTCATCCAGGCGCTGTCGGGGCGTGAGGTTGCCCCTGGCGCCGCCCTGAGGCCGGGCGGGGCCCTCGTCACAGCCTGCTGGTCCAATCTTAAGTCGGGCATGTCCCTCTACAGGAGGAACATTCAAGACGAGTAACAAAAACAAGTCAGGGGACGAGTTTTCGTGTTTTTTTTTTTGGTGTGGACTATTTTGGACATTTTATCACTATTTCTTGTTTCTCTTCCGAAATCTGCCTGCAGGATTCTATGCCCGACCTGAGTCCAATCCTCACCATTCTCCACTCCTCTCGGGTATAGCCAAGACCCCAGGTAAGGGGACCTGGTTAGTGGTAGGGCCCAAGAGCCACTAAAGTGGCCAGAATCACTCAACCACGTTTGCCGTAGCTGGTGTTTTTTCGGGTGACGGCAGTTCCCGTTAGTGGAACGGGGCGGGGGGGGGCGTCCCCCAGTACACGTCATTAAAGCAGGTCCCACTAGACCAAGTTCTTTTGGGTGACCCAACAGGCTGTCTAGCTGAAAGGGGGTGGTGCAATAGATTTGGGGCAATTGTTTTGCAAATGTATTGCGCCAAAGAATTAGATTGCATTGTATTGCAAGTAATGTATTGCACGCGAAAATCCGGCAATACATTTACGCCCCGGAACGTATTGCACGCCCCAAATTTATTGCAACCCACAAACCTATTGCACCAAATGTATTGCACCACCCCCTTCTCGCTGAACCCCCTTTTGGGCCAACCCGAACTAAACCCAGTTCTGCCAACGTCCGATCCTCGGCGGGTCTTGGAACACCAAGAGGCTGCGGAGAGCGCCGAGACCGATGCTGCCGCCACCGAGCCTGGCCAGGCCCCTGCTGGGCACGGCGTGCTCGCCTCCCTGGCTTGGTCAGGAAATCGTGGGCACCGGTCCTGGGCTTAAGTCGGACATATCCCTGCACAGGAGGAATATTCAAGAGAATGCAATGCGGACGATCTCTTGATACTTTTTGAGTCTTTTGGGTTTTTTTTGGGTCCTATTTGTTAAGTTTTCGCCCAGACTCCGCCCGTAGGGGGACATGCCCGACCTAATCCTGGGCCCAGGATCTCGGCAGTGGCCAGGAGGGGTGCAGGCGGTCGGTTACTCATCGTTTCGCGCCTCGGGTTGACCCAAAAGGGCGTCCAGCGGGCCTCCTGGTGTCCCCGGGAGTCCCCAGACGTCCTCCGGAGGCCTCGGGAGGTGCTCGGAGGCCCCCGGAGCTCCCATGGGGGCTCTCTCGGATGCCTACGGAGAGGGCGGGGTAGGGGCTCGGGTGGACTTAAGTCGGGCCTGTCCCTCTACAGGAGGGAAATTCAGAAATGGTGAAAAAATAGTCTGGGGACGATTTTTCGATTACTTTTTGAGTATATTGGGGTATTTTTCTGGTATTTCTTTGGTATTCTTGATTTTTCGCCCAAAATCCCCCTGAATAGGGACAGGCCCGACCTAAGGGTTGACCCAAAAGGGGGTCCAGCGACAAGGGGGTGGTGCAATAGATTTGGTGCAATAGGTTTGTGGGTTGCAGTACATTTGGGGCGTGCAACGCGTTCCGGGGCGCAAATGTATTGCTGGATTTTCGCGTGCAGTACATCATTTGCAATACAGTGCAATGCAGTTCTCGGGCGCAGTACATTGGCAATACAATTGCCCCGAATATATTGCACCACCCCCTTTCAGCTGGACCCAAACTCTCGAGGCCCGTTGCGGGCCCCAGGCGCATCAAAAAACGATCCAGGGAAGGCGAAGGGGTCGAGGGTTCCGGGGGGCTTACGTCGTCTTTTAAACATCACGACGTCGGAGATCTAGGATCAAGTCGGGCCTGTCCGTCTACAGGCGGAATATTCAAAAATAGTAAGAAAATAGTCTGGGGACGATTCTTCGTTTATTTTTGACGATTTGGAGTTTTTTGCCTATTCTGAGTGTTTCTTCCAAAATCCGCCTGTACGATGACATGCCCGACCTAAGTCTAGCCGCGTGCAGCTGATTTGCTAACCCCCTCTTTGCTAAGCTCCCTTCTGCCCCTTCCTTCCCCCCAGAAATCCCCTCCTCCCTTGTGGCAGTAGGGGGGGGTGGGGGGAGGGGGTGGTTGTGTGGCGCAACAAATCACTCCCCCTTCCCCCTTCCCTCCTCCCACGTTCCCTTCCTCCTCGTCGCCCTCTTTTACTCGCATCGCGAAGGGGTACATTCCATTCGGTGTCGTCGTCCTCCTCCAGAGCCTCCAAAGACTCCTCCTCTCCAAAGACTCCTCCTGCTCCTCCTGCTCGTTTGTCCTCCTCTTCCTCTTCTTCCTGTCGTCGTCGTCGTCGTCGTCGTCGTCGCTCCTTCTTCTTCTTCTTCTTCTTCTTCTTCTTCAACTTCTTCTTCTTCTTCTCCTTCTTCTTCTTCTCCTCCTCCTCCTCCTCCTCCCTCCCCCTTGGACTGGCGGACGCGACGTGGGCCTCTCACTGAAGGACGGAGAACTGGCGGCACTGGCGGCCAGTGGTGAGCGAGGACGGCGCCCTGCTCGGCACTTCCTGGGCAGCCGAGACCACAGGGGCAGACGGCGTGGGCAAGTCATACAACCTTCGACGGCGAGCGAGGGGGGAAGTGAGAAGGAGAAGGCCTCCTCATAAGGCGGCGGGGCTTCTCAGAAGCCCTCGCGCCTTCCGAGAAGTTGTTTGTGATCTTCGGGGAGGGCATGCCGAACTTCTCACAAGACCGGGGGACTTCTGCTGAGAAGGCCTCCTCTAGTCGCTTCCCCCAATCGCTCGTCGCCGAAACCTGGGCGGGTGACGCGTCGGGGTCGCGCCTCGGGACCTCGAGGAGAGCCGGATCTGGATGGCTGCCTGCCCCCTGAGCGGGGTGTGACATCTGCAGCCTCCACCACCGTTCCTCGGGGGTTCGGGGCAGGACTCCAGAAGCTGTTGAACACGGTGCACCTTCGGGGGGCGAATCTCGTTGTTCCTTGTGTTCCTGGCAGCCCTGACTGATGGCCGCAGCGCCTGAGCCTTGGTGGCCGCGGTCCCGACTGCTCGAGGTGCTCTGCTTGGTTGCAATATTCTCCCCTCTGGAGATGATCCGCAGGGTCACGATCTGCGGCGCGGCCTTGCGCAGCGGCCGATGACCCTGCGCACAGAATACGTTTCCGACCAGTTTTTGTTGACTGATGTGCCGAGGAGGTTGCATGAGCCTTCAATTCGTGGTGGGTGGCTGAGGTGGCTCCGGCCAGCCGAAAGGGGGGAGAAAGTGGTCCCATCGTCACCACGGCTGGACGCTCCGTTTCGACTCCGTGAGGGGTTTGGGGACCGATTTTGAGCGGATTTGCCCTCGTCCTCCCCTCTTGACCGATTTTCTCGAGGCCTATCCAGCGCAGCCCCCGCTGGCCGCTTGCAACTCATTTGGCTGCGGTCTGGCTTGCCAGGCTGCTTGGTGGGGTGGCCGATACCCCTGCATACTGAAGAGCATGGACTTGCAGAGCAGGATGCACGGAAGGACTTCGACGCTCAGGGTTGCGGTTTGTCGCGCGGCTTGGTGCCAGGTTTTACCTCCCACTGTATCACCCTGCAGCGCGATTGGGCTGCGCAGCCGGCGTGTGTCTGGTACGTTCTGCCAATTCGATTGCAGCTCTTCCAACATTGGTGGACGCTGGACACCGTGGCAGCAAAGCGCAGACAAATATACTGAATTCCAGGACGTCTGTACCGTAGGTTCAAACGTGCTCGAACAATGAGCGATCGATTGGGAATTTGCAGATTTCTTATTTTCCATGCAAGCTGCTGCAGACAGACATCTAGCTTTTCCATGCTTCCCTCAAAGTGGGAGCTGTTGCATGCTAGTGGCCTTTGCAAGAGCACAGGCTGGATCGCAGACATTATATGCCTCGGCGGACGGGACATGCCTCTCCTCGTATGTCTCATATCATCGCTGTCATCATATCGTGATCCTCTTCCTGGTACGTGAATGGCGGCATTGAATCTCTGCTTCAGCTTGGGAACACGCCATGTCTTATGATTTTCCAGCCTGTTTAGCTTTGATCACCAAAATTTCGAGCACCAAGAAAGTACCGAAACTGGAGGGTTTTCACGTGTCGGGCCCTGGGAGGCGATACTCGTTCGACACTGTTTCGATACTGTCCGGGGTGCTCGACATTATTTCTGGGATGTGGTCCTGAAGTTCGATGGGAGCAGCATAAGCCATGTCCCACACTTCGCCCGTATCTGTGCGCGTCGCGCATGGTAGCGCCTTCGGACCTCGCGCCACCTTCGTCCCTCCACGGGCGGGCGCGTTCCCTAAACTCCAAGTTGTTGGTTCCCGCACCGAGTCGCTCTAGCTTTGCACTCTGAATTGTCCTGACACGTACCACTGTGCTTCCTTTTACTTGCCCTTACAATTGTTGCTGCCTTTGCCATGACTATCGTTCTAGTTTTTTTTTGTATTGATCATTTTGGTAAAGTTTATCATTACCATCAGTCATTATTGGTAGCCTTACTGCTAAGTTTGCCGTTGCAATTTACGTTTCAGTTGGGGTTGTTTGTTATCCGTTGCCGTTGCCCGCTGTCTATTGTTCGTTGCTGTTGCTGTCGCCCATCGCCGGGTGCTGTTAGACCTTGCCCGTCGTCGTCGCTATTGCCACTGGCATCATTTTACAGTATTCGCACCTGTACCAGTGGCCCTCATTTCCGTCAAGCGTAATCATTACCAATACAGCTGCCGTGACCAATGTGTTTGCTTTGGCTATCATCCTTGCTCATGTCATCATCGCCGCTGTCACCCGCACAGTCACCGTGAGTGGAAGGTGCGAAAGGAGAGGGAGGGTGGGATGTGAGGGAGGAGGGAGGGTGCGGGACCAGGAAGGCGAAGGGGATATGAGGGACTGGAGGGATGGGGCTTGATGAGGTGGCAGAGACAAGTGGAGGAGCTGACGATGGAGATGCGGGCCTCTCGGAAGCCTCTTTGGGGTTTCTTGGGGGCCTTTTAGGAGCGCCTCGGAGGCCTTTGGGGCGCTTGCGGGGTAATCCGACGATGACGATGACG